TTTCTTTTTTCTTTTTCTTTCTTCTTTTTCAGAAAAAGAGAAATAGGAATCTCCTGGTGGTGCAGGTACTAATAATGTTACAGGGGCGCCAATTCTGAAAAAGAAGGCCAGCTTGAGTATGAAGGACACACTGCCTGCGTTGGCACGTTTGTGGTTGGGATCGACCCCCAGAAATTCAACGACTCCATGCAAGATCCAGACGTCCAGAAGCGTATCAAAGAGCTGGAAAAGCGGTATGAGGACAAGACCGTCATTATCGGTGTGGATCGGTTGGATTATACGAAGGGTCTAGTTCAGAAGCTCGAGGGATGGGATCATTTCCTGAAGACCTACCACGAGTTGGAGGGAAAGGTCACCCTGATCCAAGTAGCTATACCCAGCCGTGAGGATGTGAAGGAATATCAGGAGCTGGAGAAGGAGATTTCTACGCTTGTCGGCAAGATAAACGGGGAACATGGTATGTAGCCCACTTCCTCGCTCTCAGCCTTTGTGCTAAAATAACATTAGCTACGCCGGATGGGACACCGCTCATTTACATGCACCGGTCTGTTTCTTTTACGGAACTCACGGCCTTGTACTGCATCTCCGATATCTGCCTTCTCACCTCCCGAAGGGATGGCATGAACCTGGTTGCGTCTGAGTATGTGGCTTGTCAAGAGAATAAACATGGAGTTCTTGTGCTCTCTGAGCTTGCAGGCGCTGCATCCTTCATGTCTGGTGGCAGCGTTACCTTCCATCCATCCAGCGTTCAGGAGCTGTCTGATGCTGTCCATCAAGCAATCACCATGGACGAGACGGAGAGAAAGGAGAGATATGAGAGTCTACGAGACTTTATCACCACCCACACAAGGCAAGTTGGGATCTCATCCTCTTTACACCTTTTTTTTAAGCTAATCAATGGTTCTGTATATAGTGCTAAGTGGGGAGAGGCATTTATCAGGGCTCTATCTCGTCATGTCGAGGAGTAGGAGCTCTAATTTTCTGTTTTTCGATCTCGTTTATATTTTAACTCATCCCCGGAGATTTTTTTTTTTTCTGTTTCTTTTTTTCCAAAGCGGCTTTACCTTTCCATTTTCATATGAAGCATGTTTTGTTTGACTAGCGAAGTGTCATAATGTAATCAAGATTAACTTTTGATTAAGCTGTATCACGAGACTTCCTTTTCTTCCTTTTTTTCTTTTGTTATCTTAGTTGTCACGCAGATGAATGAGATATCATAGTTCAGGGCATGACAATGTATGTATATGCTTACACAGCAGAGCCTTGTTAGTGAGTGAAAGTATTCTATATCATAGATTCATAGACGCTGTCGACCTGTTCTATCCTACCAGCATGATGTCTATTCCGCTCTAGTCTAAAGAACTATAAAATCCAAAGGTGTATATACATATCTAGCCATATACAGATCGAGAACGGCAGACCACAACTCATGATCTACCACCAATGAAAACCGCAATGCACGTAGCATTATCGCTCCCCGGCACATCCGCAGCCTCGTCAACAATATACTTCGCAGACTCTGTTGCATTTAGCCCAGACCGGTAGCAGGTCAATAACCCATGTACGATAATCTCATCTTCAAGCCCATTAGTCACGCCATCTGAGGTTAAGATCAAAACGTGTTGACCCCCATCATTCAGGTTGACCCGTGTCAGGTATGGTTCACTCGACAGAAGACTCTGTTGCTCAGTTGAAAAGGTGATATCAGCGCGCCTCTGCGGTTCATTGAGCGGCCCCGTCCCCGAGTTAATAAGAGGTTCCTTATACTGGAGGTCGCCCAGCGCCCGGGACATGTTCAGGGCCCCTGTATTTCTCACCCATGTCAGTGGCCTTGTAGAGATTCGAGAATCGTGGACTGAATCCTCGTTCATCGCACACAGGAACACCGACCTAGCCTTTCCGTCCCAGTGTCGGTGTTGACCACACCGCCGGCATCCATGATTCGGTTCTTCTCATCAGGATCGCCCGGTTTATGTGCCTTCGTTATCCGACGCTGTGTGGCAGTTAGGTCCCCGTCTTTCCGAATATATGAATCCGCGTAGAAGACGCATTACGTACGATATCAGTAGCCCCCTCGCTCGCCCCAGTATAATCGGCCATGAGAATATGCGAATCACCCAAGTTGCCAACAACCAGAACGCCCTGGGTCAGATTGACCAAGGCCAAGGCAGCAGTCGACCCGGACGTCGCGAATTTCTCCTCGCCGGCGCGGAATCCTTTCAGTAGCGCCGCTTCCTCTTTCTTAAGAGCCTCTTGGATGGCCTCTTCGTACCGACCCGATTCAAGCTCCGGGCTTTCTTGTAGGAAGCGCTGGATGTTTTCGTTGGCGTGTTTGGAGACTTTACTGGAACCGCTGTGGTTATCATGGATTTGGTTAGTTGGTGAATATGGAAGTTAAGGTGGTGGTGGTACGTACTGCCCGTCGTAGACTGCGAAGAAGGCTATCTTGTCGTCGGAGTTCGTTAAGAAGTTCTCTGGGAGGAGGAATGTGTACTGATCTTGTTGTGTTGGTCGGGACCCTATTGCCTATTTAGGATGTGAGTGTTATGTTTCTTGACATCGGGGGATACGCGAACACTTGCGGCCCCTGCACCCTCGATCGTTATTGTGCTTGGGATTGTCCTGGTCGTAGTGCTCATGTTGCGAGACAGGCGAGTCTTTCAAGGGAGGTGCCTTTGTGAGTGATGTGTGTTATGTATTCTGTCTATGTCTATTCTAGGTGGTCTTAAAGGTTCGTTGTCCAAGGATAGTCCTGAATTGACGTTGTTCTATGTCTGTTGATGCCGAATAGTTGGCATGTGGATTAATCTTACGTCAACGGCCAGCCACAGTTCACTTTATGACGCTAATGTGCTGGGTCTCCACTCCACCTGTGCTGCTGTTACTTAATTGTGCAAGGAGGGAGAATATATCCCGCTCGATTTCCCCGTGGCAGATGGCAACTTTGGTAGTTGTTGCATGGTCTGTTGAAGCTGCTATACGGTTCCTCGCTTCATGTTGTGTGTATGTGGTTATATTCTGTTAGGTTGGTCCGTCACTTCGAGCGTATGTCCAGCTCTTGCTTTCGGCTGGACACTTCTTCCAACGCCTTCGCCTTATCTGTGATCTCCGGGTGCAGGAGCTGCCACCTAATCACCATGTCCAAGGCCTTACTCATCCAAGGTCCTTTCGGAGCTGCAAGATGCTGGGCAACCTCAACCCCGTTTACGATCGGTTTCATGTCGTAAACGTTCTCCAGGTCGTGTTCTACAAGGTATGAGAGGAACTTGTTATACTCTTCGATCACTGCCAAGCATATATGAGTGAGTACAAGTGGAAAGCGAAAGATAAGCGGGGAAGTATCGCACCTTGGTTAAACTCGCCTCCCTGCGCGACTTCTTGCAAGATCGCCAAGGTACAGCAGAGTCTCCAGTCCTTGTTCCATGTACGGATGTGCAATCCAATTTGCTGTCGAATCTCTGCCGCGGTGCCACTCATGCGCTCTTCCAGAAGTGAGGATTTCACGTCCACGATAGAGCGCCAATGACAAGCCGCGTCACGGAGTAAGTTGATCGTTTTGTTATCAGAACGAAGGCTATCCTTAGCGACTTCCGCCGCGCGGGGAGGAAGTGGCTTTGCTTTTGGTCCTTGCGCCACGCGATCTGGCACCGTAGACCAGGGTGCGAATGCAGCGATCACCCAAGCATAATAAGCTTCTTGGGCGTCGCGAATAAGCAGGTCGCGCACACGTGCGATAGGTATCGAAGTGTCCTCGGAGTGTAATAACTGCTGCAGAGCATTGTAGGCAAGAGCCCAGGAAGATGTATCCACGCTGACATCATCTTGGTGATTTGCAAAAATCGTCGGATACAGTTCAAGACGGTCAATAAATTGTAGAGCACCTCGGGGATCCGGTCCTATATGTTGTGAGTGTGTAGATCATGGTTGTACATAGAGGCTCTATTACCTTTGAGCATCTTCGTCATCTCGGTCCCCACGCGCTCTCTACTGATCTTCAGTTTGAGTGCTTCACTGATATCGTTGTTTTTCATGGCGTTCTCCGTCTCTTCATCAATACGATATCCTAGTCGGCTGGCAAACCGAATGAGTCGCAGTACACGTAGCGGGTCATCCTTAAAGGTTTGATACGGCTCCATTGGTGTGCGGATTACTTGATCTCTCATATCTTCAAAGCCCCTCCTAGTAAAATCCTCTACTTTGGACTCGTTCAGATTATAAAAGAGGGCATTGATGGTTGCATCCCGCCGCATTGCGTCCTCCTCGGCCGTGCCAAACTCCATCTGGGGATTGCGACTATCATCCGAGTAGGTTTCCTTCCGTAGGTTGACCAAATCGATATCGAGCCCAAAGATCTTGGTAGTGACCGTTTCCAGATGCTTTGACTTCTCCGGATTAGCCTCAATTTTATGGAGACTGACGATAGCGTCCTTGAGCTCGCCATTGTTGTGGTTTTTCTTATACTTCTGCAGATTCTCTGGGATATCTAAGTAGTCTTTAAGCAGGAGACCGAATTGGTAGCCTGTCATATTGTTTATGCCCACATCAATGTCATGGCTATCAATGCCGAGCAGCTTGTCCCGCACCCAACCTCCTGTGAAACGCAGTACCGTGCGGGGAGTGTCCGCCGCATTGCCTCCTTCTGCAATCGTTCGTTCTCGTATATAGTCTGCGACATCTAGGAGAAGGGATTTCAAGGTGTTCTCGAGGGGCGTGAGCTGGATTATGGGAAGCGTCTGATCGGATGTCGCGGCCATTTCGTCAGAAAGGTTCTTGCGCAAGATGGGGGAAGAAATGCGTCTTCTTTTGGTAGCTCTCTCGGGAGAAGGGGTCCTCGATATCTCGTGGTTCATGGAATAATTGCACACAGTTGGGCGCCAGCGACAGATCGGTGGGTTCGGTATTAGTGGGGTGCTTCTGGTACTAGGCGGAATTCTTGTAGATTGAGTGGAAACATAGACAGTTCGCAGAAATTGTTGGGTGGGGCTGAACTGATATATCTCAGGAAGAATGCGTAAAGAAGTGGGTTTGAACATGGATCGTTTCCATGACAGGAGGAAGTTCCAGTATGGCTCTATGGAGTTTTGTTGGCGCTGCTCGCATTGATGACTCCAGCCATTCTGCCCGTCTTTTTTTATACTTTTGCGATCAGGTAGCAGGGACCACCGCCTTCCGCCTTGTCGGCATTGAGATCATTTGGTCCTGGACAAGCATTTAAAGAGAGTTAATGGAACCTGAATGAAATTTAACCCCCCTTGCAGCTTTTTGAGTTTTCACTATAATTCCCTATGGGTCTCTTTGTCTAGAGAGAAAATATATTTTCCGTAGCTATAAGTCTACCTCTACTACCTGAAACCTCTATTTGGTAAATTTAATTATTGTATCACGTTGCGTTGTTGTTTCTGCCGCGGTGACTTGGCCTCCATTTAATCCCGTCAACAACAACAACATCCCTTCTCCCCCTGTCCCTCGATCTCCGTCTTCCACCTTCTTCCTTCTCTTTACACCCACGTGGCACTCCAATATTGACCGCTCCTGCGTGCATCCCCCCCCCCACCCCCTCTTGACCTTTATAGCTTCGGTCCATGGGCTCTATAGTCCCTTTGATTTCTACAAGTCCCGCTTCGCCATCCACTCGGAGTCCATGACATCGCCCGGAGATGCTGCTCCGGTCAGACCTCCGCCGTCCTTCTCGCCCGGCGTTCCGCGAGTCGCATCCAAGACGAGATACCCAGATCAGCGCCGCGACTCTTCTCCAAATCTAGATTCGGACCTAGTAGACTCGAGAATTGCCACGTCTCCCCCGCAACCCCCTCTCTCGGCGACCACTGCGGAGCTGCCGATTAGATCCGCATCGCCCCATGCTCGATCTATAAGATCGTCAACGCCGCGATTGGCCCGATCCTCACTAGGTTCTCCGACGGAAGGACGACTGGATGGTTCTGAAGATATACGCTCTTTGATTATACGCTCATTCTCCCCGGTAGTCGGGGTTTACGCATCGGTCGATACTGATGAACTAGTCAGACAAAAAGGCTTCGCGGGCGGCTTTTGGGAGCTGATTCGCCCGTTTGGAGAAACGGTTCCTGGGAAGATTGTGGTACGCGATAGTGTCGGGGCAAGTCGTGGTTGGGAAGATTATGGAGTCCGGTTTGTCGACTTAGGGGGCAACCCACAGGTTTCCTCTGAGCCGAGAACGCCGCCTCTTACACAATTGGAGGAAGCGCTACAGAGGCAATTGGAATCGCCAGATGATCCACTGGGAGGTATACTACGGCCAAAAGATTTTCTCAATTTTCCCACAACATCCCCTCTATATAAATCATTTCTGCGTCAGCTGCTATCGGTCTCTTCCCCAACGCCGCATGAGACTTTCCGCCACCCCGTGGCAAGCGTTATCGTCATTAGCTCACGAAACACATCTCCCCTTGAGACTTTACGACGGCTGTATGCGGACACCAGCAATGGAGATAGGAAGCTACCGGAGTGGGTCCATCCCGAGTACCTCCGGTACTATGTCCTGGTTCACGACGAGGATCGTGATGACATCACGGAATCAACGAAGCTTTACGACCAAATGAAACGTCACTTTGGCCTGCATTGTCATCTCCTGAGACTACGCAGCAACCAGTGTGTTGTGACCGATGACGACAGCTGCCAGGTGCCCGAAGCCGAATGGCTTTCGCCTGCAGAGCGCCTGTCGGGTCGATCAGGTAGGTTTCAAAGTCCTTCAGAGCAGAGACTGGTTTCATGTACTGGACCTAACAGCCAATAGAGCCCCTAGTAGACCTAGATACAGATGGTCTGCCATATCTTTTCGAGTCCGATGTCACCGCCATCAAAGCTTTCGTCCGGGAGCTGGTCGCTCAGTCCGTGATACCGTATATGGAGAATCGAGTAACGGTTTGGAATGATCAGGTAGCATCACGAAGGCGTGGCATCAGTGGCCGTTTCATGTCAATGTCTCGACGGTGGGCAGGTTTCGGGTCTGGTTCTCGGTCTAGTCTTATCGGCTCTGGTGGTGGAACCAGTGGAAACTACGACCTTTCTCATGGCTTCTACAAGCCAGATGTGCCCGAGGCTATTCTCCGAAAGATGGCGGACTTTGCCTTCATGCTGCGTGACTGGAAGTTGTCAGCATCCACCTACGAACTCCTCCGGTCAGACTATGCGAATGACAAAGCGTGGAAGTATCATGCTGGTGTCCATGAAATGTGTGCTGTGAGCATGCTTTTGAACCCTCTTTCCATGCCTGGAAAATCCAAAATCAATGAGATCGATCAAATGATTGAAACTGCCTGCTATTCCTACCTCACAAGATGCTCAGATGCACCTCATGCCTTGCGTTGCCTCTCCTTATCCATGGAATTATTAAAGTCTCGTGGAGGGTCTGGAATCGAAAGCGCGGCTAGATGGGCCATGCGGGCCATGGACCTAAGTTTAGTCGGCTCTATCGGCCAGGCACTCTTCAGCGAAAGAATTTCAGCTTGCTATGCCTCCCGAAATGCAATCACCGGGGTCAGATTTGGCTCTCGGCACCGAAAAGCGGGCATGTGGAGTGTTCTCGCTGCAGACCTATGGCTCAGACTAGGGAAGCCATCACTGGCCTCTGCGTCTCTCGAAGAGGCCGAACGCCTCTATGCGGATGTTCTAGACAGCAACGGCGCATTTCCCATACCGGAAATGCAAGCCTTCGTTGATAACTTGAGACATGCAGTGAAGCTTGAATACCTCGAGTCGAGAGGTTTAGATACTGGAGACGAGGTGGCGACGGCCGATCCTCTAGACGCTTTCGAACCTGAGGAGACGAGCGAAAAGCTAGACAAGCGGAAGAACCGGAAATCGCTGATCGCTAACCCGATGGACTCTGGCGGTCTCGGCTCTGTGCAAGGAGCGAGAGATGATGATAACCCTGGAAATGACGATTTTGAACGAGCTTAAGGATGCAATCGGTAATATATGGGCGTACAAAGAAAGGGCATATGATAGACACATGACCAATCTAATTATTTTTATGTCTGAGAGTCTTCTTTATTAAATGCCCGAGATGAGAGTGTATGTAACCTTGAAGAACAAGCAAAAGAATGTCGATCTCAGGCACCGCAACTCATGAGCCCGTAGTGATGATGTCAGTTCATTCATGCAGACTGACCTGTTACACAAACTGCTTTCCAGCCGGTAAAGACAATGTCAGCGGTAGAGGTATGATATATTGCTCCGCGTTGATCCCATCATTCCCAGCCTATCAATACATTCGCTTTATAGACGTCATGGACAGGACGTCGACTTGGTTATAAGCTCGTCACATGAAGGGCTAGACGTAGCTATACCAATCAGGTATAGCATAGTCACGTGTATTGATCTTATCGGTCCATATCAATGATCACTACAGTAACAAACAACTAAAACAGTTTGTGAACAACCCACCTGCATCAGAGGAGCAGTCTGGCTTGGCGGCTTACAGAAACCAGAGCCTTATCTCCTCTTTATCTTAATTAGACACCAAAGGCCCTATTATCACTATAAACCAAGATCACAAGCCCCAGCCGTCCTCAACATGAACGACCTTCTCAACTTCATCCTATCACAGGATGCATTCCGGAAGTATGACAACGCACACCCTCCCAACCCTTCCAATCTACAAGGAAGCAACACTAATCGATTCCACTACACAGAAACCGACTCCCGTCCCTCTACTCCGACTTCGCCATACACCGCAAAACCAACCCTGACGGCTACGCCGTCAACGTAGCAGCATGGGAACAAGCGCTAACCAAAGCCGCAAAGCACGGCTACATCTCCTCCTCGCACGGCCAGCTCTCGACACCGTCTAAGGGGGCGACGCGGAAAAGCGACCATCTGATTCTCCGCGCTGATAAGTCGCTGTTGCGTGATCTGGAGATCCCGGAATGGGGACAGCCGGTGGCGCTGGGGGCTGTTTTGGTATGTCTTTCTTTCTTTCTTCTCTTTTCTCTGGGAAGGATGCAGGTGTGCTAATGTGCGTTTTGGGGATTTCAGGAGGAGTCAATGCAGAACCGGACGATTGTGCCGTTGCAGGTGTATAAGGTTAATCCTGCCATTTACAGAAGCCGCAGTGGCGGCTTATTGACCCCGGGGTTCTGAATCCGTGGAATGTGATGAGCTGGGGGTTAAAACAGTTGAAGGGTGTTGTTGTAGGGACGGATGAGTCTTCGCCTGGTTTACAAGGTCAGGAGTGGATTTTGGTGGAGAATCTTAAGGTATGGGTTCTTCTGTTAAGGGGGTTGTGGTCAAGGTGCTAACTGTGAAGCAGGAGGCTGCGGGAGGGATAGTCAAGCAGGTTATGGGACAGAGTCCGTCGAATGCCGACCTCATATATTCTAAGGAGAGCTTTGTGAACGAATTTGGAACTATCCTAAATCATGACAGCGAGCTATCAGAAGCGGACTTTGATGTTCTATTGTTATATTTATCCCGCGACAGCGGGGCCATTGCCTATGATGGCAAGGTATGTATAATGGTCTCTATATGCGCTTCGACACACTAACCATGCACCAGACAATCAAGTTCCGACCCTCAAACGATGCCCCGAGGGAAATTACCCAACAAGATAGCACCGTCGCCTCCATCAAAGCGCTCATGGCAACCATGACGAAACAAGTGGAAGGTTTGGAAAACAAAATCTCCGAATTGAACTCAACCGCAAAGGCAGCTTTGCATAACAAGAACAGGATATCTGCCCTTTCAGCGGTGCGTTCTAAGAAGCTGGCCGAACGTAACCTGCAGCAAAGGCTAGACACCTTGGCCCAGCTAGAGGAAGTGTACTCTAAGATAGAGCAAGCCACCGGCCAGGTTGAATACGTCCAAGTGATGGAGGCAAGCACTGGTGTTCTTCGTGGCCTCAATACTCAGATTGGGGGGGCTGAGAGGGTTGAAGATGTGGTTGATGAATTGCGCGACGAGATGTCCAAGGTGGACGAGATTGGAAACATAATGAACGAGGCCGGCCCCCAGGTCGACGAGGCGGAGATAGACGAGGAGCTAGAGGAGCTAGAGAACAGGGAGCGACAGGCTGTGGAAGAGGAGGAGGCAGAAAAGACTCGTCAAAAGCTGGCCGAACTCGACGACCTCGAACAAAAGGCACAGGAAGCCGCGCGCATTGCAGCCTCAGAGCAAAATGTGGATTCCGAGTTAGAGGAAAGGCTTTCCCGCATGTCAGTGGAGGAGAGCCCCAGCACCGCGGCACAGTGAGGTATAAAGCGTCTCTCTCGGCAAGACATTTCTGGCCAAGGTATCTCACACGAGAGAGAAAGAAATGCGCACGGCAATTGGACTGACTATCCAGGAAGCGTATAAGGCTCTTGACTATCACCGGACTCCTTTACGTGTTGGATCTTAGAATCAGCGGCACCTGTGAGGTCTACGAGTGGCTGCTCCAGCTGCTGTATATTCGTTGGAATTGCAGCCTCCGCTGGCTGCTCAATTGTGGGTGCCTCTTGCGATTGAGCTGGAGCTGTGGGCGGGATGGTCGTGCGAACTAAAGCTTCGCTTCGCTTTCGCGCGTTTGCAATCAATCGCTTGAAGTCACTTTCATGGTTTGTCGACCATGCAGTTGCATCAAAATCTTTACGCATAACTGAGCCAGCAGACTCAGCAGCGGGAAGTGCACTCCCTCCCTGTGTGCGTTCCCAGACATCCAACTCGTGTAACAATTCGCGTTTGGACTTTGGCGTTTTCGAGTCGCAGTTAGCGTTCCACAAGTTCATCCACTCGGTGTGACGTCTTTGCAGAAGGGGCCGTGGGCCCCAATTTGGTATGCCCAAGTCTTTAAGCTTCTTCCGGAGCACATTATCTTTTAATAAGGAATAGTTTATTGTGGGGAGTCTTTCGGGTGCTTTGTTCGGAGTTCGCGAGGCAGGCGACATGGGCTGCAATGAGCTATATTTCGGTCAGCGCATATAGAGTATAATGAAAGATCTAGATCTCACCCAAACAATATCTTTTTCGGGGGCGCTGGATCTCCTGTGCAATTGTCTAAGTGTTGGAACACTGCCTCGTTTTTCATCCTCCGTTTGCAGATCGGGCAAGAAACCAGACCGTCCTCTACCATAGCGCATTAGTCTTTACGGTAAATCCGCTGCATGTATCAAGAGGCCTACCAGGAACATATTCCTCATCCTGGCTATCCTCAACTACCTCCATCGTAGCAGGCTCAATTTGCCGCTCCACGCCTTTAGCTCGTGACCGCGTCTGTCTCCCCTCCGAAACCTCTGTACTTGACCCATCCCGTTCATCGACCTTCCTCTTCTTCGAAGCAGGCTGCGCCGTTCCTTCTGCCTCCTCCCCATTTTCAGCCGCGGCACGTCTAGCCAGGTCCAGCACACTAGGTCTCGCATTCTGAAACGCCTCGACAAGTTCCTGGACCGCCCAATTGCGCCGCAACTTCAGCTCCTGGTCCGAACTTCGACAAGCCGGGCATTTCCCCTCCGTGCTCAAACACCGCCGGATACACAGGGAGCAGAACGTATGACAGCACGAGGTAATAACGGGGTTATCGAAAAAGTCCTTGCACACTTGGCAGCGGAGCGCGGACTCTAGTGGCGTCAGCAGCGACAATGGCGTTCCGAGCCAGTCGGTCGAGTCGGGGAGGTCAAATGTCCGCTCCATGGGTCTGCGGGGGCAGATCGAGAATGCAACGGCAGGAAGAAAGAGGAATTTGTACGTGGCGAGAACGGGGGGAAGGCTGAGGTTCGCCGCAACACGAAGTAAATTGAAAGAGTAAAGTAATTAGTTGAACTATTTGGGAAGGCTGCCAAGACCCGCTGACTGATACGCGTTAAGTGGTTTGGACGCGTTCGACACTTACTTGCTTTCCCCCCCATCATTTGAACGTATGATCAAGCGCTCTGGATAAAATGGCTGTCGCCGATTATAAGAGGTATCTGGCGGAGAATGTTCTCAATGAGCGCCGCACGGTATGTGGTGTCTTCTTTTTTCTTTGCGGCGTTGTGATGTCCACCTTTGGCTGACATCAGTTGTTTGCGCAGGTCACTTTCCGCTCGTTGGGTAGAGCTTTGAGGGTGCATAGTACTTTGGCGAAACAGTGGGTTATATTTTCGTCACTTGGGTTGGTTTGCGACTAATTAGGCCAAGGATGCTATACGATTTCCACCACAACGAGAACAACAAGAAACCGCAGAGCGTGAATGCGACTTATATTGTTACGGGCGTTCAGAAAGCGCCTGCCCCTGCTACGAACGGTCATGCCAATGGCGAGGAGAACAAAGATGATGTATTCCCGAGCAGTCCGTACCTGAGCAGTTCAATGCCCAATCAAGATTCAGCTCCGGATACTGTTCCTATGGCTTCTGTTTTACTGGTACGGGAGGAGGACTTGGAAGGTAGGGCGCCATTTGTCTCTCTCATGCTAGACTCAAGTGAGCAACTATTAACGCTGCTCATCAGATGCGAAATCCACCTTCGAGTCCATATCGTCTATATATATCTACAGCCTGCAGCAGACGATGTTGCAGGATCTTAATGTCTTAACGGATGTCAATCGCGAGATGGTGAGCCACCATTCTCGAGAAGATCCTTTGGAGTACGGCGGGCAGTGGGGCATGATTCAGAATAAGAACGTCAAGGTATTTCTTACCCCGGAGCATCGTATATATAGGAGGCATAGTGTTGATATGCGGACAGCGGAGAACGGGCGCACGGCCGGCCCCGGCGCCACCTGCTACTACATCGAAGCCCACTATACCCTCGAAACGGCCAAGTGAAGCAACCTCGTCCCAGACAAAACCAGCGCCAAAGAAGGAAGAAAGTGCGGCGTCGGAGCAAGCCTCCACACGGGAACGCACGCCCTCAGCCACATCTAAACCTACCGAAAAGGCCGCTCCGGTGAAGCGAGAAAAGAGCAACCTCTTCAGCTCCTTTGCCAAGGCAAAGCCGAAGCAGAAGAAGGAAGAACCGGCAACCCCGGCAGAATCGGTCAGTATAGCTTCCTTCATGATTCTCGTAGATATACTAATGGAGTTTAGGCCGAACCTAGTGGTGCCGAGGATGGTTAGTACTCTGATCTTGGTGTTCGGATACGCTCAGTTATATTGACAGATGGACACAGTTTTTGCCGGTGACGATGATGACGATGCCGACGACGAACCGGAGGAGCTCTTCCCCGACAGTGGGAAGTCTGCATCCGCTGCTGCAACTCGCGAGAGTCGGAAAGAGCGCGAAGAGAGGCTGAAGAAGATGATGGAGGACGATGGTAGGGCACCGTAGCCTGTTGAGCGCGAGGCAGAATCTGACCACACACAGATGAAGACGAAGACCAAGACGAAGACGAAGAAATGCCGGATGCTACAGAGCCACCAGAAGAAACCAAACTCATTGATCAGCCACCTCCGAAGAAACCGGAGCTCAAGGAAGAAATCACCGTTCAGGGAGGCCGTCGTCGCGGCAGGCGTCAAGTGATGAAGAAGCAGGTCCGCAAGGATGAGGAAGGCTACTTAGGTACGGCTCTCGATGACGGTAGCGGAATTTGAGCTAACCATTTCTTCCCAGTGACTGTTGAGGAGCCGTCGTGGGAGTCATTCTCCGAGGATGAGCCCGCGCCGCCACCTAAAAAGAAGCCCGCTGTGAGTGCACCCAAAGGCAAGCCGGCCGGTAAAGCTGGGCAGGGCAATATCATGTCGTTTTTCTCCAAGAAGTAAACGGCGGTCTACAGCATTGGTGTTACGCTGCGATAGTGGAGTTCAGGTATATCAGTTAGCATATTTGCAAGCCTGCATGTCAGTCAGCATGACCACGAATAATAGAAGTATATGCATCAGCATAATGTTTCCTTGGTTAGGCCACTCGGCATATCTAAGGCCGGGGTATCCACTTCATTGCGGGGAAGGCAAGTACTACGTAGTAGCATAGAATAGGATAGGATCGTACTTATAGTATACGAGTACCGTATGGCAGACAGAGCTTCGGAGCATTCCTACATCAATGCTACTAATACAGCAGCTGCATAACAATATGTTTCCCCCAACTCATACTCATACCATGCAAAAGCTTCTCAGCCGACATATGTAGAGCATGGACCGATCTATTGCCATGCATTCTTTTGAGATGTCGATCCTCCCGATGCTTTCAATTGTTTGCGGGGGAAACTTCGCTCAAGCCTCATACTAGTGTCCGCGACTATCAAGCGATCGACAGCCATTCCTCCTCTTCCCAGTGTAACAGTGACAGTGCAATGTGACCCTTCATGTCTCGCAGGGTATTGATTCGGAATTTCTCCGACAGGAGGACCCCTCCGATATTCCGTGTGGAGGGAGATACAGCAGCCTTTATATAAACAGGGGGGCCCTCTGTCGTTGACCTTCTCCGCATTCCACCTTCCGCTCGGCATTTAATTTACATCAACTACCAGCTTCTCGCGGTTTTACCCATAGTCTCTAATCATTGTTCCAGGCGGATCGCTTGCTCTATATATCTGCGACATCCTGAAACACAAAATTCACCTTCTCAAGCCCCGTCCATCATGACGCGCTCCGCAGCAGCGCTGATCGTCGCCCTTGCAGCTTGCTGCACCGCACAGGGCTCTACAGGACTACGTGACAGTCCTGCTATTCTGCGACGGGCCTGTCCAGACTACCTCACATACTCCACAGCACCACAGTAAGCCTCCATTTGATCTTGCGATCGCAGGCATCTTCTCCATACTAAATCCCTCTCCCCCCTCCCCCCCCGCAGCCCCCCATACAGCGGAGGTCCTTTGAACCTACCCTTCCAACGACCAGCTCAGGAATGTCGCACCTTCAGCTCCCCAGCGGTAGAACAGGTCATAGAAGACATCACGTCGCGCATAGAAGACAAAGATCTAGCTCAATTGTTCAAGAACGCCTTCCCCAACACCCTAGACACAACTATCAGATGGCACACAGACGGCTCCTCGGCGCAAGCATCGCGAAGGGCCAAAAGGGCCGGCTCTCAATGGAACGGCCCCCAGACCTTCGTCGTAACAGGCGACATCAACGCAGAATGGCTGCGCGACTCCACAAACCAATTGTCTGGCTACCAGGCGCTCGCCAAGAAAGACAAGAACCTGCACAACCTCATCCTGGGGGCAATCAACACGCAGGCTGAGTTCGTCATCCAGTCGCCATACTGCAACGCCTTCCAACCGCCACCACCCAGCGGTATCCAAGCCACGGACAACGGCCAGGACGACAAGGTCCACCCCGCATACGAGCCGTCCGTCGTTTTCGAATGCAAGTACGAGCTCGACTCCCTCGCCAACTTCCTCGCCCTCGGCACGGAATTCTACGAAAACACAGCATCAACCGAGTTCCTCACAGACCGGTGGTACCTGGCCCTGGACACCCTCCTGAAAGTCCTCGACGCGCAATCACAGCCAACCTTCAACGACGACCAGTTCGTCACAAACCAGTACACCTTCCAGCGCACCACCACCCTAGGCACCGAGACCCTCAACTTAGCCGGCGTCGGTAACCCCCTGAACCACGGCACCGGACTCATCCGCAGCGCATTCCGCCCCAGCGACGACGCCACCATCCTGGGCTTCTTCACCCCGCCCAATGCCATGATGGCCGTGCAGCTGAAGAAGACAGCAGAAGTACTCCGCAAAGCAGGCGGCAAAGCCGACCTCGCGCAACAGCTCCAGGACCGAGGCGACAATCTCGACAAGGCTGTCCGCGAACACGGCATCGTCAACCACCCCAAGTTCGGTGACGTCTTTGCGTTCGAAGTCGACGGCTACGGATCCCGCATTCTGATGGACGACGCGAACGTCCCGTCTCTTCTTTCGCTCCCCGTCTTGGGCTACGTCGACAAGGATGACAAGGTATACCAGAATACCCGGAAGATGGTCCTCAGTAAGGACGGTAACCCGTATTACCTGAAGGGGTCTGCTTTCCACGGTATTGGTGGTCCTCATAGTATGACTCACCTCTTCCCCTCCCCCCTCCCATTCATTACATTGGAAGATAAATTCTAATGAAAACCGCACAGTCGGCCTCCAAAACGCCTGGCCCATGTCCCTTCTCATCCAGGCCCAGACCTCCGACGAGGATGCCGAGATTGTCGAGTGTATCAATCTGGTCCGGAACTCGAGTCTCCTGGGTCTCGTGCACGAGTCCATCGACGTTAATAACATTGAAAAGTACACGAGGCCGTGGTTTGCATGGGCGAACTCTGTCTTTGCTCAGACTATTCTGAAGGTTGCAGCGGAAAGACCGCATTTGATTTTTGGGGAGGGCGCGAAGCCGTATGTTATTGAGTGAGTGGTTGGTTTGGTGCCTTGATAAGTTATACCCGAGTCTTGTTCCTAAACGTAGTGTTGCTATGGTGTAAGTACTTAATATGAGGTGTGTATATATAGCACTACGGTGCAAGATGAGTATACTGCAAATCTAGGAACTGAGGGTTTGATGCAAACGTACCCAAGAGCGCATAGTTATAGATAGCTTAGGAGTATGTACTAATAACGTATGTAATTGACCATGTCACATGTAATATATGCTATAAGGGGTGTTTATACAGGAATACTAATTCTAAATCAATACTCGTCTCAAGCCTTCCGTGCCACCCAGCACTCTTCTTCCCGTCACGGGACACCTGCCCTTCCCACTTTCCCATTTGCCCTCCCGACTCTGACCCTGTTCACCGGCCTTCTCCTCATCACCCTTCTTTGCCTCTTCATCCTCGGACTCATCCCCCCACGTGGTGCCTGCGTCCTCCCCATTCATGAAGTCAATTTGTCTTTGATGTTCCCCGTTAAGCCAATGGAAGACACACACATAACAAAAGACATACCCCGTCTGGCACGCAGTCGGGTTCGCCAGCTGGCTGAGACAGATAGGACAGGTAGATGCCGCATCCGAGTCCGGGGGTGGGAGAGGGACAGTAAAGATGGGTAAGTATGAGGTGGCCGAGATAGGCGGTTGGATGCGTTTGCGTGAAGATTTGAGGGCCGATTTGCGCGTCGGCGAGTCAGGTTCTTGTTTCTTCTTCTCTTTCTCTTCGGCAAGCTTCTTTCTCTCCGAAGGGAGAACCATTCCGTTCGTGACCGGGGCCGGTAAGTCCAGGACTTCGGTTGCTTTGCGGGCTAGTTGGCGCGAGAAGTCGCTCGCGTGCCACCATTCAAGGAACTTCAGGGCGAAGATAGATGCGGGGAGGAAGTAGCGGAGAGATGACAGGAGTTGAGGGTAGAGGTTCTGGGGGCTCAGCAGACCCAGCAGGCCGGAGCCTGGGCGGGAGCGTCCCCGGCCACCGGGGCCAGCGGCTGGCTTCGCTTCCAGCATGTCTGCAATGGCCTTATGGTCAGCGCCACCAAGACGGCGAATTCGGGTGCCGATGAGCCAAAGGAATGGGGAGGAATATTTCGTGTTGTCAAATAGGTAGGCTAGATTGAAGGCTAGGATAGAGAAGTAGTAAGCGGCGTTGACGGATGGGTATACGTTTCGAAGGAACCACTTATAGTAGTGGAGTAATCGCTGCCGGATTGTTGGGTTTGGTGGGAGGTCGTCATTGGGGTCATATCGGGGTCCGCCGCTCATGATCAGCGAGGCCTGGGGGGCGGCGTGGATATCGTAGCCTTCGTCTAGCTTGCATTTCAGGTACGGGATACCGACCATGATGAGCAGGTTCTTCCATACATCTGAGGAACGCAGTTTAAGTGTCTCACGGACGGGGCCTGGGGCGCCGAGCTGGGCGCGTGGGATCTCGCCATTCTTGGTCCTGAGAACGCGCTCACGCTTGAGAGAGTAGAAGTTCTCGGTGAAAGAGCCTCCAAAATTTCGGAGATAGTACCGCTCAACTAGCAAAGATAGAAGTGCGTAAATCTCATCGTAAGAATTCAGTATCCGCAGCAGGTATCGAGGATGGCGGTGAGTGGCAACCGCAAGGATATATCGAATAGATGGAGGGAGAAGGTCCGACAGTTGCTGTTCGGCGAGGAGTTCTATGTCGTTATCAGCCGGCAGTCGTCGGAACCGTTAGAGCATTGCAACCTACCGAACAGAGACGGCTTGAGCTCGTCAAACTCCTGTTGAAGACTGGGTAAATATTCCATAGCTTGTATATCGGCCAGTCATCCTCCACCGGACGCTGAATTGATTGTTGTTTGGGATGGCAGAGGATGCGGAGATGAGTCGAATGCGGTGCTTGACCCCGGACGGCGTTGGGCGGCGGATTGAGCCGAGGCTTATCGGCATGTGCCTTGGTCCTTATCGGAGTGCCCAATATGGTAAGCGCTATCGATTGCCAGCTGCCAGTATACAAGGCGTTGGTGTTATTATACAGAACTATAAAATTACAATGATTATATACATTTCCAATGTTTCGACGGCACCCCAAGACTGCAACAGAGTCTGACACAGCCAAGATAATCATAGGTTAGATATTCTTTTGGCACTCGTTCCATATTCGGGCCAAGTCACTTGTAGCTCCGCTCGCTGCGCTTTGTTCAATATCCGGGTCTGCCACAACAAGGCATAGTTTTACATGCTGCAGGAGCTGCCCCTGCAGCAGGATTGGAGTTTCCTCCCGGGCCATCATGGGCACCCATGTTGACAGACAATCTCGAGCGCGAAGCTCATCACCTAATTCGGCATGTAGCCGGAACAGCATCTCGTAGTCTGCAGCGGTACGTGGACTATCAGTCAGAGGTAACTTGCGCCACAGCTTCCAGAATCCATCATAGTCCTGGTTCTGAAAAAGTGTTGCCATGAGGACGCGGGAGTGGTCGGGATCAAAAGGTAAGTCAAGGGTCTTTATAATACGTGAGATTCGTAGAGCCACCTCAGGGGATGCGGTACTAGTCGCTCTATGTAGCATGTTTAACACTTTCATATTCAAAACATTTGTACCACGAAGGGAGAGGTGTTCCAAAACCCGAACAGCAAGTTCTCTGTCCGAGTCTGGCAAAAAAGACCCACTATTGCGGTCATCTGGGGGCGACTCCGTCAACATTGCTGAGACAACATCGAAGCCAAGATCGTCAGAGACATGATACCCTGAAGCAATGCATCTCATGAACGCCGTCCATAAGCCTTTTTTGCTGTATGCGAAGTGTTGACGGGAAATAGCCATGCATAGTAGTTTGACCTGGGCTACAGCTGATTCCTCTGCAGACAAGGCCGACAAACGGTTATAGAAAAGTTGAAGAAAGAGGGTCGAGCCTTGGTCTTCTGGGCCAGTCCCCAGCTCCTGCCGAGCGGTCTCACTTGGCAAGCTTTCAAGATATTGGAATAAGGAGTATGTAGAAATACCAGCACTAAAAACATCTCCTTGAGCAAGGCGTCCGCTGGGTGACCCCGATGCCAGGAGTCTTGCCACACTGTTGACATTCTCTCTACCACTAGGACGGCCGGTAGATTGGGTGCTGTGAAAATGCCTCTTCTGCTCGAATACGAGGCTTACTGTTGACCTGGGGACTTTTCCAGATTCACGGTCAGATGGTGGTAGATCTATCGAATTGGAATCACGAACCTCTTCAGGAGGTGCATTGCGAGTGACCTCGGAATACTTCTGTTTCTCTCGTTCGGCACGGTCTAGGGTTCCCTGCCATAGGCTTTCAAGGTCGACTTCGGCCCTCTTCTCCTCTGTGAAGATCTGCACGACAATCCTCGTACCCCTGCCAACCGTGCCGAATCCTTCAAACATTTCATCTTTCTCCAGCACAGGGCTTTCCTCCACACGCCGGCGTTCACACATATCCAACCGGTGGTGATCCCATCATCCTTGTCATCGAACATGGCGCCGGAGCGGCTTGCAAGTCTGGCTCGCCGGGCTTTGCGCCGCAGCTTGATCTTGAGCTCATTCCGACCTAGTAACCCATCTGCGTATGGGGACAATTTGTAATTGCTCCTCAGCCAACGACAGAGACGATCTGCGGAAACGTTCAGATGCTTCACACTTCTGGCAGTTCCGATGATCATGATGACATTTGCACCAAGAGCAGGAGGTGTTTCCAGGCCCCGTAAGTCAATCAGCTTAAGTTCATCTAATCCAAGGTCTTTGAAAACATAATCGAGAAATGGGGAAAGAATCGCAGGTGGGTCTGCTGGTAAGTCTGGGATTTGATCTCGGGACGATATCTGTGATTCGGAAGCTGGCATGTCTTCTTGCAGATACCATGGGACATGACTAGTCGACCCGGACAGTCCATTGTCTGAAGAAATATCTCTTCCTTCGGTGGGTGTTGGATGCGACGGCTGCTCTGACGCAAGATAGGATCTTGACGAAAAGGCTCGTGAATTGTGCTTGTAGGGTGAAGGTACAGGGAAAGGCCGACGATGTACCGAGGCAGAGGTTATGGTCCGAAGTGGCAAGATGGCCTCCTGGCGACACCAGGAGCTCCTTAACAGCGTCCGATGCATAATGCGAGTATATTACAGATGAGAAAGTATTGCTGGATGAGAAGGGAATTGGAAAAAACGATGACATCTGCACAAGCTCAGAACAAACATGACAAACACATTTATTATTAAGCAACCAAACAGAGCAAACGGAAATCTTTCCCCCGCGGCAAAAAAAAAAAAGTTACAAATCGAGTAACCCCATAAGTTTCATTTCATCCTACCTCTTTTTGTCTCGGTATCATACCAGTCTGCGGCAGGATTTTGCAAATATGTCGATGGATCTGGATGCGCCGGTCCCTATTGCTGCGCAGGACCATGTAGCTGCGACGTATGTCGACCTCCCTTCTACTTATCTTACCCCGCTATGGCTAACACACATAATCTAGTATCCTCTGTTGTAACTGCGGTGCCCCGATCGATGGAACAACAGCGGCCGGTGCGCTTTGTCAAGACTGTGTTAGATCGACTGTCGATATTTCTGAAGGTATCCAAAGAGAGGCAGTTGTCCATACCTGCAGAGATTGTGAGGTGTGTGTGTCTCGGAAGCGGTCATTAGGGTGTGACTAACCTCGCGCAGCGATGGCTTCTGCCCCCCAACAGCTGGGTCAGTGCAGCGCTGGAGTCAAAAGAGTTGTTGGCGCTATGTCTGCGCAAGCTTCGTGGCCTGACGAAGGTCCGGATCATCGACGCCAGTTTCATCTGGACTGAACCTCACTCGAGACGTATCAAAGTCAAAATCACCATTCAACAGGAGGTGGCCGCAGGGACAATTCTGCAACAGGCATTTGTTGTCGAGTATGTCGTTCATTACCAACAATGTTCCGACTGTCTTCGTTCGTTTTCCCCACATACGTGGGTCGCATCAGTTGTAAGTTTCCAGTTTAGCAATCCCCAAGGGTATTAGCTGTGCTAACTTCCTTGGCAGCAAGTACGACAGAAGGTTCCGCATAAGCGAACATTCCTTTATCTAGAACAACTTATTCTTCGTCACCGCGCGCATCAAGAAACCAATAACATCAAGGAAGCAAAGGACGGACTGGACTTCTACTTTAGCCAGAGAAGCCATGCAGAGAAGATGGTTGAGTTCCTTTCTTCAGTTGTACCTGTCAAGGTGAAGAAGGCATCAGAGCTTATCTCTATGGACATCCATACATCGACGAAGTCCTATAAGTTCTCCTACTCGGTCGAAATAGTCCCTATTTGCAAGGATGACCTTGTTGCTATCCCTATCAAATTAGCCCGGTCGATAGGCAATATCTCGCCACTGACACTATGCCACCGAATCGGAACTACAATCCAACTCTTAGATCCCAACACACTTCAGACAGCTGAGGTTCCTGGCGCGACCTACTGGAGATCACCTTTCAAGAACCTCGCGGATGTCACTGAATTGGTTGAGTTCATCGTGATGGATATTGAGCCGGTGGGCAGGTCAAACGGACGATTCCACCTTGCCGAAGCGACCGTTGCCCGTGCGTCAGACTTAGGCTCAAATGACCAGACCTACTTTACCCGTACTCATCTAGGCGGGATTCTCCATGTGGGAGACTCTGTTCTAGGGTACCATCTGACCGGCACGATATTCAACGACCCCAATTATGATGCTATTGAGGCCAGTAGCCAATACAGCTCCACGATTCCCGATGTTGTCCTTGTCAAGAAGCACTACATGCGCAAGAAGAACAAGTCCCGCAACTGGCGAGTCAAGCGTATGGCTCGTGAACACGAGGAGGAAGCACTCCAAGGCCCCACCGGTGGAAGCCGCAAGCAGGAGCAGGAACGTGAGCGTCTCGAAGCCGATTTTGAAATGTTCCTTCGCGACGTCGAGGAAGACCAGGAGCTACGGGGCACTATCGAGCTATACAAGGCCAGGAAGAACCAGAATGCAGGTGGTATGGAGATGGATGAAGACAGCGAGGATGAGGGTGTGCCCAAGATCAACATGGACGAGTTGCTTGATGACTTTGATGAGCTGAACATGAACGATGACGAATAAGTTCTGTCGAACTACAATCATGATTTGACACCAAGGGTCCGGCGTTCATTGGGAGACATTGATTTGGCGGTATAAAAGTTAGGTCCGAGTACATAGCAAAGGCAGATCTGCTAGAATATTTTAAACCAACAAAGCTTGTTTCGCTGATAAGGATATCTTTTAAGAACTGTACACGAATCGACTAGAAAATCTTCCCCAGCACTCTCTTTGTATCATCCTCCAAAGCAGCTTCACCATCCTGGATCGTATGACGGCCCCTCTTAACCTCATTCTGCTTGAATGTTCTCCTAACTTTGAGCTCGCCCATCTGCTGGCCTCCCGCATCACCAGCCTCCATCTTCCTTTTCTTCTTCTCTTCGTTTTTTCTCTGCATCCCATCAAGCACCTTACCCGTCTCAACACCCTGAAGGAAGACCTTGTCCTCTTTCCTGGCCCGAGAGTCCTCAATGCGCTGCTTAGCCTCCCTCTCCTGTCTCTCCCTCTGCACCTGTTCCATCAGATCCCCCCATTTGAAGCCCTTCAAATACTTCATGTTCCACACATCATCATGGTACCAGCCCCCCTTCCTCCCCCCAACAATCGACGCATTCAACGTCTCCGCACAAAGCTTAGCCGTCTTCTTCGACGCAAACTCGACCCACCCATCCGTATATGTCTTTCGCTTATTCGACCTCCTGCGCGGCGCAGAAGCCGACCTCACAGCAGGCGACAAGAACACTTTCGTAATCGGCCCGAACGACCTTGCCTCCAGCATACTCTTCAACGCAAACGGTTTCAAATAAGGTGGTAGTGACGAGAGATAGACAACCCCGGTCTTGTTCTTCTTCAGCGGCTTTCCCTTATCTAACTGTTTCCGCTTGCCCGATTTCGTTTCCTGTTCTGTGACGTCTAAGTATTGGGCGCCGGAGGTCTCTTCTTGCTCGTCATCGTCGTCTTCCTCATCGCTCTTGTCGTCATCTTCGAATTGCCGGGGCTTCTTGGCCTTGCCTTTGCTCTTGCTTAATTTTAGATCTTCATCAGAGTCGTAGTCACTTTGGTCAGATTCGTCGGTTTGGGTTTGCGTTCGTCTGCGCTTAGAGATTCGTGCTTTGCTCTCTTCGGCGGCCTCCGAGTCGTAGCCGCGGTCGTTGTCTTCGTCGTCGCTTGGGGCGAGGTCGAGGAATTCGTTTCTCGTGCGTGTTGTCATATTGCCTTTTTGTTTGGCAATTGTGGTGAGGGTATTTTGTTAGCGGAGTTGCTGGAGATGTTTCCCCTTCCTCCGGTTTGGGTTTCGAGGATATATGCAATTTTCAGTTCGACCTGGGCTGAAAATGATAAATTGTTCTGGAAGGCCGGACAACTTTTTTGTTCCGCTGTTGGTCTGTGCTTTGGTGGAGGTGGCTGGCCAATCAGAGGAGAACTTTATATCCCCCCTCCCTCAATATACTATTACTAGTACATAGTATAAGGTACTACGTAGTTCATAGTATACTGAGAGTGAAGGTCTAAGTTGCCGGGTTCTAAGAGTACGTTACTTAATTTAAGACTCTTTTCAAGATGTATATTCTTCATCTATAAACATTCCTGTTCATGCACAAAAGTCAAACCACGTACCTATATACAGGACCACCAGAGGCACTTCTTGCCTCATCATGCAAAGAATGGGTATGAACAATGTCGACCATGACAACCAAACGACGCCAATATCTCTGGATCTAGGTAAAAATAAAACTGCAGATATATATAAGGAAAACAGCATAAAACCGGAGCCCATGTGGCAGGATGTCTCCCATCTGGCCCAGATGGAAAGGAACAAAGGAATATACAAGCAGTCACCTAAGAATTTTCAAATGCCCAAGGACCACTTCATCCGCTCGTACACAAAGAAGCTTATGGCTGTCATAGGAATTATCTTAAGGTATCCAATAGACAGGCCCACCCAGAACCCCTGGAAGCCTCTCTCGAGCCAGATCATCCGGGCCGTCTCGGCTATTCTTAGTCGATGACCATCGCCCACTACTCCTCCTACTTGCATTCGCCGCCGGATGACCTCTAGCGGATAGGATGACGTCTGAGAGACAAGACCGGCAAAGGCCCCAGAGAAAAGCTCCGCCGCAGCGGTCAGTTGAGTTCGATGCGGTCCTTTCTTGGACTGCGTCTCAGATCCTGGAATGGTTGTGTATTGCGAGAGTGCCGGTGACCGAAGCCAGTCGCCAACGGTGTCATGCGTAAGGAACGACATTCCCGCATAGGGAAGCATTCCCATGAGGGTAGGCGCAAATCCACGATAGAAGTTCGCCAGTCCAGAGTTAGGAACGACTTTATTCACGGCAGAAGAGACTTCGGCCGTGGCAGTGGCTGCAGCTGAGGCTGAAGGGCTGGACGACAGCCCGCTTGGTACGGAAGGCGGCGAAACCCGCTCGTGGTAGATCTGTCGGAAAATGTCCGTGAAAGAAGAGCGAGAAGATCGGTTGGTCTCGAACGCCAATCGTACTCGAATTAGTTCCAACGGGTACGTAAAAAAAACCGATGTGATCCCTGCCAAACTCCCAGAAATCAACCGGCGGAACGGCGTTTCCTTGTCCCGCGACGGGATTATCACCGCTCGGATCTGTTCATATGCGAGAAACTTGATAGCGGCATAAGGGAAAATGCGGAGAAGTGTCGCAGAATGACCTTTAAACAGGCCCCTCCTCCCTTCGTGACGATTAATGTCCCGAACCGCGGATAGCAGGCCAGACCAGCTGCCTGTATACTTGGCGAACTGCGGGTTCGATGCCTGGAAAAGGATCTTGACACGGTCAAGTGGTGCAACCGCCGTTTTTGCCTATAAAAACAACAGTTAGCATTTGACATGCTCGCGACACCTCACGATATGGTCAAACAATGTAACTTACAGCACACCCCGCGACACCCCCCGCAAGCCCACTCCTTAATACATAGTCCAAACTCCGCTTGTTCATTTGTTGCGGCCCTTCATGGCCATTCTTTTTATAACCCGGCGACGAAGCATCGGCAACGGCGGTCGTTTGTATCGTCCCTACCGCTGCGTTCCTACTTACATCACCAGCCGTGGACCCTCGTGCTGGTCTTGAATCTGAGACCTGTTCCATCTGAGGATGTAAGTGCGGGACAGCGTCCGTTACTACACGGTAAGGGTGAGAGTTTCTGGGGCTGATCGGTGATGGATCATGTACATGTTCGGGTGCGACAGCAGACATGAGTACAAGCACATCCAGGCAGAAAGCCCGGTAGGATGGTGGTGAGGAGAATCCGACGTCAGGGTCACGGGCTATCGGCAGTAATCAATGCCATGGATATTTCACGAAAGAATTTCACAACGGAGATAAGACGGATCTACCCCACAGAGAAAGGAGATAACTTTCAAAATCACGGACAGCGACGAACAAGTAAATCGCAGTATCCCTTCTATGAACGACACAGAGAACAATTATCAGTTAGAAAAGCCAGCCTGATCGCATTCTTCATTCTTCCTGCTCCGGGTGGAAAGCGGAAACTCGGCGGAAGTGACGTTACGCTGCTGACGTGCCGATACGGCCCGCCTCCCTTTAAACCGAGCCTGCGTACGGTCTTAATACGCGACGATAACCGAGTGGCGGATATCTGTTATCACATGATCGTCGGGTGGCCAACAGCTGACCACGGATTTGTCACTTTGACGAAAGGTCCAGTAACTGGTACTCATGTAGACAGTATCCAAATCATGCTTGAAAAAAACATGTTCCCATTGATAGTGCTATATTATGCCTCTATATTGTGATGTTTTATTTGCAGTGCAACCAGTTTGCCCTCCTGACAGCTCCAAAGCTACTAGAGAGTTAATCTATGTACAAACGTCCACCAACTAAACTTTCCTCAGCTCCCCGATGCAGGATATTTCCACTTTGTACATAAAAGATATGTTGCGATCCAAACTTTCATGGTCTCGTTGCTCGTGTATACCAGTAAGAAAGACCTTTTAATTCCTTGCCGCTCCCCAAATATATCCTTAAACCCCATAAAAGGTCCCATAAAACGCCGATCGAGTGAAAAACGAATACTCTAAAAGTGGTAACGTGAGCCTTGCCTTGTCAAGGGTTTGCCCTGGCGATTAACCGCCTTGATCTCTTTGGGGTCGTCGGTGGCCCTCTTGGCTCGCTTGGTTGGTCGCGAGGCATCTACATGAAGATGTCCGTTCTCAGACATAGCCGTCGTGTTATGCCAGCTCAGGCAACGGTGCCTGTGGTCGTCCACGTAGGTCTTGTTTCTGGTCGTCATTCGCTTCGTGGGCATCTCCTCCGATTCAGCCCTCTCGGCCGTCTGCGCAAGGTATTCCGTACGGAACTTCATGTACTTGACAATGTTGTCACGCTGAAGCAACAGCTCTTTGCGTAATCTCAACTCTCGATTACCCCGCGAGTCAAGCCAATCAATAAGCTTGTCCACAGCATCAGGGTCATCGTAGTAGCCCCATTCATCCGCATTCGAGAGCCTGGTGGGTCCTTCTTCGGCCTTCTTGCGATCTGCTGGCGTTGTATGAAATTCTTTCTGATATTGCTTCTTCTGATCTTCAGGCACGTCAATGAACCCTACACGCTCCATTTCGTCAGGTCCTTGGACCCATAAGCGGCCATTGGCAAACTGAGCCTCTGCTGTCGAGCTGTTCGGCATACCCCCGTACGGCATTGCGTTTCGCTCGAACCACCAGTATCGGTTACAAAACCTGTCCTTTCCAAGACATCTGGTTCGTGGGCAATCAGCTTCTCTCAAATCGTTGTCCACCACGTCGATCTTCTCTTCAAGCTTCTCGATGTTCGCTTTTTGGTCGTCGATCTTCTTCAGCACTCTCTGATATTGCTTCGTACCCTTTGGCTGTTTGGCTAACTGCTCCCTTCGTTTCTGTTCTTCTTCTTGCTTTCGTTTCCTCTCAAGAACCCTATCCAGTCCTCCACGCAGCGACCTTTGAGGGGCTTCCTCCTCTTCGGAATCCGCGACTTGATCAGACTCTCCGTCAACTCCAGTCATCTTGGAGTCTTCCAATGCTTCCAATTCTGGCGCTGGCGAAGGTGACTTTTCTGGCTCAGGTTGGAGTGCTTTCCGTTCTTGGTGTAACCGTCGAAGTTCTTCGAGCCTGGAATAAAATGTCAACCAAAATACACTGCAGGCCTGTATATCAATCTACTTACCCTACTTTGCGAGCCTTTTGATATTCAATCTTCTCCTTGCGGAACTCGGTCATTTGGTTACTGCACTCCTCTAGATAATTTCGAATGGATTTGGTCTCCAGGCTGAGCATGCATATGATTTGGAGGGCTTCAGCGCGCAGGTTGATATTGAGGGTGGCATACTGGCGCTGGACAGTATCTTGGGTCGGCTCCGCATCGAGAGGAGCCAAATGCTTGAGTATATCGTTACAGACCTTCTCTATCCGAGGACGAGCGGATAGTTGATGCAGTAGGCCAACCATGACCAATTCCCAACCACCGTTGCGGAAGTCCCGCTTGCGTAGACGATCTATCCAGCCATAGTCTCCAAACATCTCGGCTGCCCGATGGATTTTGACCTCTACTGAATTAGAGCGGCTGCGATTAGCTTGTGCTTTCAAGGTTTCCGCTTCTGCCTTAGCCAGGCTACTCCGAGTAGTCATTCTAGTCACCACTGGTTCAGGCTCGGGGGTTTCTTCCTCTTCCTCTTCTCCATCCTCTTCGTCGGAATCGGATTCCTCGACCGGAAGATCGGGAAGCGAGATCTGCACAGCACCATTCTCATCCTTCTCTGAATTAACCAGCTTCTTCAAAACAGCACAATGCATCTCAACGAAGAGTTCGCAGTCTACTTCCTCAGATGAAAAGCGCATGGCCTGAAGGAAATCATCGAAGGTAAAGGAGTCCAACTGGAAGACTTCACAGTACACGTTGAGAGTATTCCACGTCTCGAGAAGTAGCCCCACTGGCTTCATGTCGATATCATCATGTAGCAAGTTTTCATCATCAGGACTGTCTGTCTCGTCAACTTTCAAGAACTTCATAGTTGGCCTTTGCTTTTTCTTTTCGCGGTCCGGTGCGATATCTAGATCCTCGATAGGATATTTGATTGGAGGAGGTGATGGCGGTCTAGGCGTTTCAGTTTTGACAACAACTGTAGTAGCAGTCTGCGATTTCTTTTCAGTCTCCTGAGATTTAGACGACCGAGCGCCTCCAGTGGTTTTGTTGCTGACGACAAAAGACGGGTTGCCATTGAGAGATCTTTGATACTCGAGGAACTGCGCCTCCTTGGACCGCGCCAAATCTTGTTGGGAAAGTTTGGATTTTTGGCCCTTCACGGCGGGTTTTAATTCGGGTAGTTGCTGTGATGCAAAAAACCCGAAGAAACCCTCTTGGTCTGCCTTCTTCATCGCCTTCTTTTCTGCTACCTTAGCTCCATATTGCAGGTGTTTCGGTACCTCCGTGGGAATTCTGTATTCTTCCGCAATCGATGGTTTTACTAGCCAAGGAGCGCCGTTCCAGGACTCCCGCGTTACATTGTTCTTGATGAAAGCACGCAACATTTGTTTCGTGAAGGTTTTCCGATCTCGAGTAATGTGCTCTTGGTCCAATAGAGCTTCCTCATTCGGACGATCTAGCACTTTTACGAGATATGTCGCGTATGCTGGAGATTTAACGGTGCCATCCGGATACAGTTGTTCTGCGAAATTGACCTTGTCTCTGATCATACCGTGTAGGCGTGTGTTGTCATCCAGCAATATCAAAACGGGCTCCCCAGGGTAAAAGTCCTGCTTAAATTCCTGTTTTTGTTGGGTGTAAAGTTAGGTCTGGAATTAACTCATCTAAGACGCATCTAACTCACTTCATAAATTTCATCCACTGTAGATCCGGCCGTTAGTCTCAAAAAACTTGAAAATCACGGAAGTTGCCATACGCACCTAGGTTGTCGACCCGCGATACAGTGGAGAATTGAATCCTTCGCAAGATGGGCTCCTTCAAAGCGTCAGGGAACGTGTTATTAACTTCCCGCGATTCCTCCAGCTAGTAAGAAGACTTAGTATTGACACCTGAGCAGTAGAAAAAGCACAGAGACGTACTTCCGACCTAAGCGCTTCGAAGAATGTCAAGCCCGAATGGCCTGTAATCTCGCAGATAAATCTTCTCTGTTTGTAGAAGTCCATTCGCTGAAGGTACGGTTCATACTGAGTGAAGACTTCGTTGGTCTCCGGAATGACCCAAACCTATATAATCGCTGTAAGCAAATGTGTTTCCATTGCCCTTGTCGAATACACATGCCTCGGAACTGTCATCTTCGATAACGGGTCGGGGGAGGTATTGGACGGGCTTCCGCTTAAACAGCACCTAGAAAAATGTAAGCGGGCCTCGTTCGCTATATCTAGGTCTTCTCCCAACATATTCGGCGGGCTACCGGGAGCCGTAGAAGCTTGCAGCGTACCATGGTCCTCTAGGGAGTGAGAGAAATGCGCCAATTTAGCATAGATTATTGGTGATGTCGCTAAGCATGGACGATCTGTAAAATTGGAAGAGGTTGTTAGTTCGGTAGACAACAGCGCAACCCAAGGGTGCATGACAGAACCAAGAGTTAAGGCAAATGGAGTGTTACCAATGCTGCGAGTGGCATTGGTCGTGTTGAAGACAAGGACGCAGGCGCGGACGTGTTGCGTGGAGAAGCTCCGGAGTTGTAGCGGAGGTGTAGAAGTATACTCGTAGATCCACTCCAAGCAAAATCGCCAAATGACAGACGAGGTAGGTCTTGTGAAGAGAACTTACTGAATGAACGCGTCTCCAATCGCGCTACACACGGGTGCGCGGGAATATGGTGACCCCAACACGAGAACAAAAATCCAGAAAATCGGGTAGCTGCAAGAGAGCTCCGCAGCAATGTGGATCCGCAATGCTGGTGATATCCAAAAACAAGGTGCCGTGTGGGAGGTCGCGTGAGGAAGAAGGAGGAGATAGTATAAAAGAAGAAGAAGAAGAAAATGAAGAACCTCCAGAGAAAGAGAAAGGAGAAGCGGTCGCCGCAACGGCAGAACCACCGGGCCATGAGGATCATTGCGGCAATGGTGGGAGGGCCGCCGAGGCACGGCGGACGATGATTGGACGAGAGGAGGAGAACTGGCCGGACAAGATGTCGGGCGGACAAAGGACGGCTATACCCGATAGGGAGTAACGCTGAAGGAGTGTGGGAGGGTGCAAGCACTGACTCTCCCCCCATCGCTTCTTGACCCTCTCTGCCACACTCACATTGCCCCAACCATACTGGTATTTGCACTTGTTCGGCTCCTTATTTTCTGTAGAATTTTATGCTATTTTGCTTATATGCTATAATCTTCCTCTTTCTCCGTAGTTGCTCGATATCAGCCGAGACGTTGGCCCATTTCCACGCATAGTAGTTGGACCACTAGGGTTAATGATGGATAGCCACCACATATACTATACGTCCACAATCAAGAGTCTCCTGATGAAATATACTCCACTGCTTCACACATATCTCTCTTTTGGGGCGACTCAGACTCTACTAACTCGGATATCCTAGTGCTCCTGGAGCTTTAGAGATTTCTGAGATATCAAACATTGGATACTCGGCTCGCCATATATACAGCACTCCCCACAATGAGCTCAACAATTACATTTGTATAGTTCAAGTATCCTCTGCACACGCAATTAAGACAACTACGCCTCGCTTCTTCTAGGTCTGCCTTTTGAAAAGCCTACCTTTATCTCATTTTCAACATACTCCATTGCCACTTAGCAGCCCTTCCTAAAGTGTCAAGCTTTCAAGCTATCTCACCATCAAAGCTGACGCCCCATATAAAGTACATAACGCACGCTTTATATTTGCTATATACATCTCTACGTATTATCAGGTGACCTTGTTAATCTCTCTATTTCCCAATAACGATGTTCCAGTTGAGTTCGTCTCATGCAAAGCTACCACCCACGCTTGCACGAATGCGAGAGGCTCCTAGCAGTCTACTCTTTTCTGGCTCATAATCCACAAAAATCTAATTCCAAAGGGCTTTTTTGACTTTCTTTGGGTACTAGTGAGACAGTATTGCCTCTGCACTCTCCACACTCTGCACTACTATGAAGAACGTTTTCCTACTTTTATGGTCAGATGGAGACAATAGTGCAGTAAACCTGAGTTAGACTTACTTTTTACATATACTACATCTACAGCTTCAACTTTTGAAGCAGTATTGGGAGAACTCGGAAGAATGTAGCATCTACGCAGCACTATTTGGCTAGAAGCACCACGACGACGCTATGTTTTCACATAGATATTGTTATTTATTTATACAAGCTATTTACAAGAAACATCTCATTATATTCTCCTCAGAGGGGTGCTTAGTGCTCGCAGGGTTTGTTTAGATAGGCCGTATGGTTATTTAATCTGGCCTTAGCTTATCTTGGTATCTGAGCATTCAAATAGTATGTCGGGAAAGAGTAGAGAACAACAGGAACATTGCAATAAAAACAAAGGAAGGCGGTGCGAACAGGAGTAAAATTACTAAGGGCTGATTTCCAACGAGTGATAGAGACTTATCCACTACTTGGTTGGGGAATGGGAGCAAAAGGAGGAGAAAATGCAAAGTGGCTGTGATCCATCACTTGAACGGGTACCGGAAAATATACATCGACATCGGAACATGACGAATGCAAGTACCCATTTAGACTGACAGTGCTAGAGTTCCTGACTGGTAGAGTAGCCTTATGAATATATGCATAAGTATTTAGTATCAATCAATGGACTAATTAATTTAATGGCAGCATTGGTTTATGTTCGCTTGACCATTGCATTGATGCTAAAATTGCTGTAACTTCCTGCAGTGTCACATCCATGGGATCGGTCATCTTTAAAAGTTGAGTCTAACCTATTTGGGTCTGAAGGCTGATAAACTTTGCAAATTTGGATGATCGAGTGGGTCCACATCCGAAGCACGTGGGTGCAATCAAACAAACCAAACATTCAATTATTCTGAAAGCCGTTGATTACATCATTGTTGGTATTGGAAGAATCTCATTTTCTGGTCTGTGTAACACAACACGCAATAGTACCTTTCCTCTACATGCCACACCGGCTATTGCAAGTTCATCAAGAATACATTCTCACATTAAGACTCTATACTATATTTTACTATGCGGTAAAGTACACAACCATGAATCCTATCCAACTTCCTACCACGCCCAAGGCGGAATAGCTGCTCATGAACATCAAGGGCAAGAACTCGTACCGTTCCAGCCCGAAAATCAACTGATGTACAAGTGAACAGTAGATAATCAGTGGAATGGCCACTGCCAGGTATAGCAAGGAGAACCGGTCGACAATCGGGAAGATCCGTGGTCGTTCGGGAACTGGTGCTACCTGCTCAAATACAAACAGGAACAAAACCAACCAAAAGACGGTGTATAAGGTCTTGATAGGGAACTCGGCCGCAGTAAACAGCAGAGGGAAGAGCGAGACATGCCCAGCTATCGCAAGAGATCTGAACGCGCTAAAGTACCGCCTGTCTCTGAGGGCTATGAGACTGAAAGGTATGATGATCAGGAGGACGGCTTTTTCATGAACATGCCAGCCGAATAGGAAGGAAGCATATCCGCAAAGCGTAATGGCACCAACAAATACGTCCCAATCACCAGGGCTCCGCCACAATTTGATCAATGGAAGCTACATCTCCATGAGTACAAGAATCGGAGAGTTATGTAGAATATTGAAATCACGTACCAGCTGAAACAGAAAAGTAAGCGCAAAAGTGTGTTCCTTGGTCACCTCTGGAAGAACAGCAAACGAGGTGTCACCGACAAGACCCCGCGTAACGCTCGTAAGGGCCTCCTGGTTAATAGAGAGACCCAAACGTGGGGCAACTACTGAAATTAGTTATGTCACGCAAAAGCTCAGAGCGCCGGTACATACGTAAAATGAGGGCACGATCAGCAAAGGAATACATTGCCCAGATGTTAGGCGCCCAGTAGGCATGGCACAGACCCCTTGAGAACGGGAAGAGTCGATCTTTCAGTTGGAACAACTGATTCCAATAGACGAATGGACCGAATGCTACGCCAAAGACACCAATGACACCCAGACCAAGTTTGATAATATTTCCAAATCTGGGTTGAAAGACTGACTTAGGGTCAAGACAGTAAGTTCTCAGCAGGTAGACAAAGTAGGCCAACGAAAGATAGAGATGAATATGTTTCATGCAGAGCAAAATGGCAAAAATGATGCCGCTGTGGAGGAGCGTCGACTGCTTTCGTGCAAGTACGATGGACAGGATCAGTACCCCGTACATAAAGCCGTTATACTGGAAATGGATGTGGTCGATGATCAGCAGACCGGGCGACAACAGAATTGAGAGGCTGGCAATATGCGCAAGCTGCTTATTAGACTGAGGCGCAGATTTGATGAAGCTAGATTACTACATTAGCGTCTGTAGCTACCTTCTTAGGAAATTGCAAAACAGGAGCTGTACCGATTCAATGCGAAGACGAGAACGAGTTCACTAAGGATAACAGTTGCTCGCTGAAAGTAGATTGTCTGCCAGGAATCATAATTGAGATTCTTGACAATCAACATTGCAGGGTCCGCATATTGCGCCGCTTGCGACAATAGCCACTCAAACGCTGCGAAGAAAGGGGGGTAGTCGAGTGTCCATTCCGATGTTTTCTAACCGGGGATCGGTTTCAGTATAGAGGAAATCGGAGAGTATGCGGCGTTCGCAACATACCTCGTAGTACCATTCCTTGACTGGTAATGAATGGGTGATTGCGAGCCAGTTCCGGTGAACCTCGAAGTCAGTCGATTTACTACAAGAAAGGCCCGGAGTCAGCGTGAGGTAAAAGATTGGCAGACATAGACATGCTTTCTTTGGGTTTCAATTGGACCGACATACTAGGCGGGGAAAAGGAGAATCTTGAAGGCTGCAGCGACGATGGCGCATTGCGCCAGAGAAGGGTATAGGTCAGCCATTGAAGCTGTTGCGCATGGCGCGCTGTCAAAGGCACGGAAGACAACGAACGTGGAGCATTGATGTTCCTGCCAGGGGAGAAATTCCCATGGAACGGAGGACCCTCTAACTAGATAATCTGGGGAGCTGTTCACGTGACGCGCGGATGCCCACTGACAAAGGCCAGTGTGTCCCTTCGGCATATCATACTGGTCGATTTAGCGCTCAGTAGCTGCAGCTTCATGGAATTAGCTTCGGACGTAGGAGTCCGTCATTCTGTCGTTCTCTCCAATCTCAACATTCAACATCTGGTCGACTTTTCACCGGCGACCGTCTCAATTGCCAGAGAGATCCGCTACTGCGTGATCGCCATTGTGGTTGGGTGGACCACTACTCGTGTTGTCTCCGCGCTATTGAATCGCCGAACTGCTCCTGATCAGTGACGCTTTTGATACCGAGTAGTCAATACGTTTTGCTTCTGTTCTTCTGTTCTTCCTTTCTTTGAATTCTTATAACACTCTTTCCGTCAATTCGCATAGATCGACAGGGCACTTCCCTAACAAGTAGTGATACTCGATTGATTGTATAGACACTATGAAGTTTTCAGCTTCTTTATCGTTGTTCGCTGCACTCGCTGCGGCACAAACTGTGATCGAAGGCTCTAGCTTCGGTCATGGCCAAACGTAATGAATCACACCCTTGACTATATGTTGCGTGCGATATCCTGACATCTTTTCTAGGCTATCACCCGCCAGGGACACAATCCCGGGATGGTCAATTGGAGGAGAAGGACATTCCCCTCAAGTTGTATGTCTTCATTGTTCAACTGATTTAACTAGTGGTGAAAAGCATTTCTGACGTCACCAGCTCTCCAACAAGCTAATTCTTACTCCCCCTTACCCTGGCAACACCAGAGGGTTTGCTTGGTCCCAGGCTCCGTGAGTTTGAATTGGTCCCCCAGTATGTGCTTCGAAATCGCTGACAATGAATACAGCGTTTCCCAGTCGGAATGGTCGGCTGAATTTCAGTTCCGAGCATCTGGAGTTGAGAGAGGAGGGGGCAACCTCCAGCTCTGGTATGCTAAAGATGGTCAGAGCAAGATTGGTACATCTAGCATTTACACTGTTGGCCAATGGGACGGATTCGCACTCGTGGTTGATATGCACGGCGGAAGAGTGAGTCTCATGATCCTGGCTCGTTTATTAGTACTGACATCATACTAGGGAGGTAGCATTAGAGGATTCCTCAACGACGGCACAACAGACTACAAGAGTCATAGAAGTGTAGACAGCCTTGCTTTCGGACACTGCGACTACTCTTATCGCAACCTGGGCCGGGCTTCCGTTGTTCGTATCAAGCATACAAATGCCAACTTGGAAGTTACCGTCGATGACAAACTATGCTTCGCAACGCACAAGGTCTCTCTTCCTGCCGGCAACACATTCGGTGTAACAGCCGCGACGCCAGAGAACCCCGACTCTTTCGAGGTCTTCAAGTTTATCCTGCAGACTGCTCAGTCCGGCACAGCCCCACCAGCTCAGCAGCAAAACAACCAGCAGCAACAGCAACAGCAACAGCAACAGCAACAGCAACAGCAACAGCAACAGCAACAGCCAGTCGCCGCCCAGGCCCAAACGCAGCAACAGCCCAGGACCGACCAGTTTGTTGACCTTGCTGCTCGCATTGAACTCGTCAACAAGGCTACCGGCAACATCATCCGCGAGATCGGCAACCAAGGCAAGCAGAGCGAGAACCGCCACCTCGATCTTCAGCAGAAACTCGCAACTAAGGAGCAAGTCGCCGGTCTCGATGCCCGCCTCCAGAAGATCGAGCAGATGCTGCAAACCATCCAGCGTGACCTGGAAGGCAAGGACTACCACAGCCGCTTCAACCAGCTCCAGGATACCCTCCGTTCTTCTCACCAGACCTTGACTGAGCACCTCCAGGGCTCTGTCCTCAGCGGTATGTCGATCTCTCCCAGTTACCCGTTCATAAACTAGATACTAACATCTGAATAGCAATAACCGCCTCTACTCCACGCATGGGCTTCTTCATCTTCCTTATCATCGCTTTCCAGGTCTTCCTGGCAGTCTCTTACATCGTCTACAAGCGCCGCCGCGCAAACATGCCCAAGAAGTTCCTCTAAACGGAAAACAAACATTCCACAAGACTGGTCTTGGAAATTACCCAACACATGATACGCAATTCTCATTTCACCATCTCGATTCCATGTTCCGCCTTCAAGGACATGGGCATGGAATCTCAGATCCACGAAAGTCATGTAGTAACGCGAACTTTGCATCGGCTTTGTACTGCTCCTCATCTCTGTTTCGGCGTGTTCATGTTTGGAAGAAAAAATTTTGTTTGGAAGTCGTGACGCTGTCATTTTGTGTTTGGTTGCAGTCCTTTGGGTCGTTGTATATCTAGATTTATTCCTATCTGTTTGATTCTGGAGATTATTTTTTTTCGGGCTTGTAAGATTGCGGACTGCAGATCACTATATTTGACCAGTCTGAAAAATTCTGCGACATGAAAGCTCTACAGAAGAAGCAACATGAAAAACACACCAATGAGAATGCTAAAAGTCCCACCACCCATGCCTTGCCAAATAATGCGAGATAAAGAATTCTAAAATATCGTACAAAAAGGATATGTATCCACGTTGGTTGCCTGCAGTCAAAACAACCACCACTAGGAACTAGAAAATGAGAAATATAGAATATTGGAAGTCTGCCGAAACAACAAGATCGTCACAACATTAAACGGTTTCCGTACGCCAACCGAAGGGCTTGTCCAATTCATTGCACATGTATTATTGGGGAATGAACCACCACAAGCGCTCGGATACGGAGTAGGATGAGGAACAATAGTCAGGTAACCCAGGAGGCACAAAGCTCGGAAATCACAAACAGGTACCTCCGGTTATGTGCTGGTAGATGGATTGGTAGGTTGAGCGTCTATATGCTCAACGTCTGGGGAATTGACGGCTGAAGGTTCAGTTGGAGCAGACTGAGTCTTCAGGTCTGTTATGCGTAGTTCAATCAATCGTTGCAAAGATCGAAGCGATGCAATCTCGCTCTCGGCTGAAGGCATAAAGTGCGGAGGCACGTTCGCTTTCAACTGATCGATGAGGAGGCTGATCTTGCTATCCTCAACTTCGGTACTGTTGCCCTGGGCAAAGGTGATTAAATTTGTCGCGGCCTCTCGCTCAGCGGCGGTACGGGAGTTGAGAATCGCAGTAGTCGTGTCATCTTCTATAACTTCCGGATTCTGGGCTGCATAGAACGCGTGGGCCTTAGACGTAAGTTCGTCGTGTCGTTGGCGAACGTACTCATAGTACTTGTCAGCGGCCGCTTTCTTCATCGCAAGTTCTTCGTTTTCCCTGCAAGTATTATTAGATAAATTGAGGTCAGACGCATTATCCAAAAATATACTGACCGTTTGACTCGTTGAATAAAATCGAGCTTAATCCCTTTCTCTGAAACACGATACATGATACCCTCTTCCTCCTGCTCCTCTATCTTCTCATCTTCTTCTTCATCCGGAAGTATTTCAACGTCTATCAAACGAGGGTTTTTCGGACGGCGAACACGTTTTACCAAATCGTATCCCTCCTCGTCTTGAACAATGAAGAACTTGTCATGCCAACTGTGGTCGGGGCACATCCAGCTATGATATGTACGATCACTCCCCGGCTTTTGGGCGGGGGGTATAGCTAGAGGAGGATCTATGCAGTCCATATGGAAGGCGAGAGGACAGAAATCGCATTGAATAATGGGCCGACGACCGTTAGTGGTGCGGCCACAACCATGGCAGAGAATGAGTTTGCCTTTCGCATCTACTGTTCTCAGCAGGAATGGATCATCATACCGGCCAGAGCGATTCCTCCCGCTCCGAGGATTGATTCTGGGAAAGGGTAAGACTTCATCGTATTGTCCTTTATCGCCCGTTTGCACACCAGCAAAATAGCCACGCAAACGAGAGGGAAGAGCAAAGTCTTTATGCGGAACCTTGTCCACAGCGACAAGCAATGTACCCATGGGTTTCAGGATGGAGCATCTTGGACAGAACCAATCCCCTTCTGGCGGGTTGGCGGGATCCAGGGGTGGATTGAGACAGGAGAAGTGGAATGAGTTCACACATCCGTCGCAGCATAAAAGCTGGCCGCTGCCGTTGCATTCACGGCAGAAATCATTGTTCTCCTCACTATTCTCCCTGTTGACAGCCATTGTAGGCGACAGGCGCCGGTTGTCTCCAGCATCGCTACTTGCCGGGCTTTCTGATCTTTCCCTCTGTTCGGCAACGGTTCCTTCCGCGGCAGTCTGGGGTTGGCCGACCGTAGTGGCAGCAGGGGTTGTGACGCCTGAAGGGGGTTCAGAAGCAAGCGATGAACGGAGTCTACTCTCAGTAGCAGTGATTTTCGGGAAAGACCTTTGTAAGCGAGTCCGTTTAGCCTTGACGGCTTCTGCCGAGAATTCGGGATTTTCTTCCAATGCACGCCTGCGCAGAAGAGTAGTATCACTAGATGGAAATGCGGAGCGGCGACTTGGGGGTTCTGAAGCTTCACTATCCACGGCCTTCTGGGTAGACTTGGAGTGCTTTCCTCTACCGCGGGAGCGAGCGTTTGCCGCTCCCGGTGCCATTCCTGGGGCGAATGTTTCGGCATCGAGTGACTTAGCAGAAGACAGTGAAGACACGCTACTGGCAGACCGCGTACGTCCCATAACTGGTGTTACAGTAGGTAATACTTCTGTGTTTTCCTCTGACTGTATCTCTTTCCAGGCAGTGCGCATCACAGTTTGGAACACTGACTGTTCACGGGCCCCAGGATTCGCTCCACAAACACCCTCCAAAACAGAGAGAGCAAAAGAATCTTTGCCACATGTCTCCCAGAGGCGGAGTAGCCCACGAATGACGGGACGATTACCAGTCTCGGAAGCCATATGGAGGGCATTTTCAACTGCGGAGCGAAGTTTCACTACATCAACATCAGTTGAATTAGGGACAGGAAGTGTTGTAAATGCAGTCACATCCTGCGCCGTATTGTCCTTTGGGATGACAGGTTCAGGCATCGGTTCTTCAGCAGGTGTCAATGGTGTTTGCGGCTTGCTGATCTCTGTATCCCCGTTCTGCACTGACCGCTGGTCTTTCTTGGCAGTGGTGTTTTGTGTACTTGGCTTGAGAGGACCTAATCCTGCTTTGCGCATGTCTGCTGCAGATGGCATTGTCCCTAAGGGGCGCATAGTTGCAAGGACTGGATTGTTGTCACTCGAAACAGCTGACCATGGCGTGTCTCTGTAGCTCGGAGCCGGGGCCCTCACCGGTGGCTCAACCCATTCTGCGCCTTTCTCTGACAATTGTGAATCGCTGACAGTATCTGATATCCCGGTCTTAAGATGCCCTGGTTGCGATTGATTTTGAGAAGGTGTTTCATACGGAGGATCGGTGGCTACACGGCTGTGCCTGCCCGTCCGTCGTTGCTTTCGAGGCCGCGTAGATTCGGTGAAAGAAGAAGCGGGACTCGCGGCATCTGGCGCATGGAGCGGTGTTGATGGGCGAGAGTCGTTCGACCTGACATGGGACGAAGAGCGGAGATTCGGAGCCATCGTTGTAACCAGGGCTCGAAAAGTTGCTAACACCTAGAGTACACAGGGTTAGCGCAAAGAGCCATGGAAGTCATTTTGTTTATTTACAAACAAAGAAACACTCACTAATAAATAGGACCCGCAAGCAGACAGCGAAGGTGCCCTGCGGTGCCGGTGGGAGAGGTGGCCAGCCCGCGCGCTGTCTGCGGGTTGATGGGAAGGAGGAAGATTGCGGAGTTGGAAGCGACGGGAGTTTTCGAGGACGACTCGGTCCCAATCACGCCTCGTAGGGGGTATGCCGCGGAGGCTGCCAACCAACCACAAAAATTTCACGCGTTAAAACTAGCAGGCTTCCAGTCAGAATTGAGTAGCCACATCTCAGTTTGTGATTCTAATCATCTAATTTTCTTACGAAACTCAAAGTGAGGGTTTCTTACCAGTAGGTCGTTTTGACTCGCCGCAGGGATCGTGGAGATAGCGAGACAATAGATCCACTGAGGCCTATTTATTGAAATGAGGGGGTTTGCCTTCAGTAACCTTTAAATGAGGTTCTGGGGCCTTCGCAAAGCCCTTGTGATGAGAAGTCGTGTTGTTTAGGGAAACAACGTGTTCTTTGTCTTGAATAGGTTAATAGATAGTGCACCAAAAGCAGGTTTTGTAAGATGCGAGCAATCAACCATATGCATAATAACGACGACAGATAGGGGGAGTTGTGTAAACAAGAACTTTCAAAGGCAAATGCCACCAAGACTTATCGCTGTGTACATAGTGGATCCCCTAAGAGCAGTACGGTGGTCTCCTGACAACGGACGAACCAAGGGGTAGACGCCGGCAGCCAAGTAGATATAGAGAAGAACTCACCAAGGATGTGAGAGACCTTTGAGGTAAACCCTGGCAAATGCAAGGAAAGGCGATGTGCGGTCTTTGCTTGTTGCGGAGATGCCCAGACACGCGAGAACAAGCTGGACCTAGAAAGAGAGTGCCTGTCAGGCCTTGGTTGAGAGGCCAAAGTGGAAGATGCAAGGATAGAATCTTGGACAAGAGTTGAGATCGTTCTCCTTTCTTGAGAGAGGAAGAGAGACGTTAGATGGAAGTGGCGCGGAGGGAAAGCAGACGTTGGGTGATAGAAGAGAAATGAGAATCGAAAAGGAGAAGTAACAGAAGGCAGCTAGGATGGACAAACAGGACAATAGAATTCACAGCAGAGGAACCTGAAATGTAACACAAGTGTGTCTGCCACGCGAATATGACGGACGCGATGAGTGAGGTTTCTGTGTTGCTTCAAGTATCTACTAGTCGCAGACAGATGATAGCCAGGAGGGGTTGGCCTTCATGCACAGGTGGATAGATGCCAGCCTACCCCACGGGGCCAACAAAGTATACACTACCCAAAAATCACTTTAGCTCAAGTAACTGAAAGTGAGAACTGGGGAGAAGTGAACAGGAGATTTGTAGTGAGTGTGATTTTCAGAGGATGAAAGGGTCTGAGGTGAGCCAATCGCAGGGAAAGAGAATAACGCTGCAGACCGAGAACCACAAGTAATGGGCTCCGGATTTCTTTACATGCACAAAGATGCTAGCCCCAACCTGAAAATACGGGCCCTCCAACTGGGAGGGGTCGAGAAGGAAGATGAGACGAGGGGACTGGAAGGGGTGAGATTGATGGAAGGAAGATTGAAGAGGAATCAGGATTGGAAACGGAACAAGCCAGCCCTGCTTTTTTGGCCCACACCACCAAATGACAGCGCCGTATGACCACCACAATGCACCACAGCCAACTCAAGTCCAACCCTTTTCAAAGATGGAGATGCATGTTCATCTGGCTAGACAAGAGAAAATAGGGTCGATTTAATCCCGCTCGTGAAACCATATTAACCGTTTTGGCCCATGGAAACTCCCGGTAGCCGCCGTAGCTATCGGCTACCCTCGTCAGTGTGGATAATTGCTGTTCATATCAAACCCTGTCAGGCAAGAGGTCAAAGGTAGTGAACAAGGGAAAGAGGAAAGAGAGAAGCAATGGTGTTCACCCCGATGGGGACAAAGAAAGTGGCCATTGCCGAAACTGAATGGGTTCCACCAGTGTATCCAATGCTCCACGATACACCGTTGTAGAAACTAGGACGAGGAGAAGAAAGGTCAGACTGAGGATTCTCGAAGACCAGTCCTTTCCCCTTTGCTTTTCGCCAGGGTGAGAATGCGCAGACCTCAACGTTGTCAACAATACGCAGCTATGGGGCCGATATGTTGGAATCCCAGGCTGCGTGTCCGACATCACTGAGCGACAACATGGATTAAATAGCCTTCAGTTAGTAGAGCTGGTCCTCCAGGTTGACAGTGTCACAATAGTAACCTCGAGACTATCCGGGCTACAAGAAAGACAAAAACGCAGACTATGCAGATGTTGAGCTCAATGGAACCGTAAGCAGAAATTCATAATTCTCTTTTTATATTCACCTCATACATGACTTTCGCGTTTTTCAACTAATTACGTGCCAAGGGTTTTCAAGAGGGCACCGTGATAAAAGACAGGAAATCTTATATGGTTTCTCCTATCCTCCTATGCCTCTCGCTCCATGTGCTCGCGGAACAAATTCGCCTCTCTCCAGTGTGGACAAAGGGATTTGATTGACATGATTGATCAACATCCTGGAGCACTCCGAAAAAGGAGCTCCGGCCATGGCCTGGAGCAATTCCATCTGCCTATCCAACGATTCACTAGATATGCCAAAGTTGACCGAGTTAAACGGCTTATTTACTCCTTGTCGCCAGAGTCGGCCTTCTTGGCAGCCTTCTTCTTGTTGTTCTTGTTCTTCTTAGAGCCAGTCGACTTGGACAGAGGACGCTCAAGGATCTTAAGGATTTCCTCATCCTCGATCTTCTTGTCGGACTTAACCTTGGTGAAATCGGGAGCGGCGGGAGCAGTGAGCTTGGTGATACCGTTCTTGGTGATGGCTACATATCGGTCAGTCAAAAGAAAGCAGGCTATGGAAGGAAAGGCTCTGGAGGTTACTCTGATGCCAGGGAATAATTGAACATACCAATAGTAGTCAAGAGACGGGAGACAGCGGCATTGTCAGCATCGCCGGCAGGCTCGTACTGTCTCAGGACACCGCCACGGACACACTCGACGACACCGACCTTAGCGGCCTTCTCATCATCCAGCTGGCGCAAGCTGAAAGGGAACTGGCCGAACTTCTTGACGATCTCCGAGAGAGTTTGTCTCGAGCTGGGACGCTTAAGGCCGTAGGTGGTAGTGGTACGGCGGTGCAGGGTAGAGCGAAGGGGCAGAGTCTTGACCTTTCCGGATCCAAGGGAGAGACCGATTTCAACACCCCAAACCTCACCAACGTCGGGGACACCCTCACCCTTCACACCGGTACCAGGGGAGAGAATGATCTTCTTCTCAGCCTCAATCTCGTTGCGCTCGAAGAGCCAGCTGGTGGTGTTCTCAACCACGTTGCAGTCGTAGGCCTTAGCAACCTTCTCGATCAGCTGAGAGATCTGAGCCTGAGTGAGGGGCCTCTCGGCGGCAGCCTTCTTCTTCTCTTCCTCGGTACCGCTAGCCAGAAGGCCAGGGGGCACCATGAGTCGGAGCAGGAGCTCGTTGGCGTAGTGAGTCGCGGTAATGAGGTCAGCCTCGCGGCCAGTCACTTCGTCCTGGCCGACAACAACCTGGTCGCAAACAATGGTTCCGAAGCCATCGATCTGGGCACCGAGCTGAATCTTGGCGATTTCACCGGCCTTCAGGGTAGTCTCGGCCTCCTGGGCGTCGGAAACCAACGGAGTGTATGGGGTCACATGGGAGCTGGGAGAGACAGTTGTGGGGTGACCGACGCCTTTATCCGGGAAAGACTTGTTAATGTCATGCGCATGGGGCTTTTAACTAGCAGTAACATGGACTACGATGGTAACGCACCCTTGGTGATCTTCTTGCCCTTGTAGACCTTAGCAATTTCCTCATCGAGAAGCTCATCACCCTTCTGGCAGATCTCAACGATCTTGGCTCCCTCCACACACAGGGCTAAAGAACGGGATTAGAATATGAATCTAGACCTTTGATAACGGCGGGCTTGCCACGGTATGTAAACCCGGACACTACGCACCTGCGACGGCATCGAGGACCTTGTGCGAGATAGTGGCAGCAGTCTTGTACTTGGTCAAAGTATCGGGGTTGTTGAGGGTGTAGTCTGAGATTGGTTCGAGGTTTTGATTAGTTATGACACAGGTACACTTAAATAGCAATAGAGGCACCCATAGATAGAGAAAATAAGCTATCCATTGAGTTCCCGTGTTCCTCTATAGCTTTCGAGCTGCTAAACGTGCCGACAACCGAACCCATGCCATGACGACGAAGCAAGCGGGAAGGAAACCCACAAAACAACGGAGCCTTTTTCAATGGGCAGAAAGAGGAGGGGTACTCAGAGTGAACACTTACCAACCTCGGGGGCCTGCTGGGCCTGAGTGTCAGCCATTGTGTGTAGTATAAATGGTTCTCGCTGTGGTGTGAGGAGTCGATAACGATCAAAGAGGCACTAATCTAGCGGACGTTGGGAGCTCACGAGGAGAAGAAGGAAAAATGGGCTGAAACGGAGCTGGAGAACTCAGATGGAGTCAAAGTATTTACTAGTAAGAGGAGTCCTTCCTTCCCTTACGTAGCAGTACACATTACGAGGTGTCGGCGGGGTCCTTTTCTTGGGTTTTTTGCCCGCGTGGGTGGGGTTTTTTGCAGTATGATTTCACTGCAAGTAGGGCTTTGTATTGGTATTACCAGAACGTCACGAGACCGCCTGCCGCAATGCTCTCATCCATTCTTTGCTAGTAAGTTTTTCGCTGATCTTGAAGCTTTGGATGGTCATTTACCTCCCAGTCGAAAGCTACTGGCCAATATATTCTGTCCCATTCCACTTATACATACTTGGAAACATTCTCAAGTTTTAGCTATTCCGTATTCTCCCATTACACACAATGCTGTCTGAAATGAGGAGTGATAGTGTGCGTATTGTAAGGCACAGCCCGCGGAGCAGATGTGAAGCTTCCTTGTATGACATCACCAGATGATCACTTAATCCAATTTCGAAACTTTTTCACCCGATCTCAAAAAGCAAGGGCTTGATTCCAAATTCATTTTTCTTTTTTGACTCAGGAGCGAGAATACAATCTATTAAATGCAAGATAGCAGGCAGGTGTAGACGAGTACCGAGTCTTGAATTTCTAAGAATGGCTTAATATCAAAATATTGCTATCCAACGGTCCTATGGGGTAGTGGTTATCCCACCGGATTTTGATGAACAATATACGTATCCTGTGTATGTATAGGAAGATCTAATCTTCCGGTAACGCCGGTTCGAATCCGGCTAGGACCTTTGTTTTTATTTTTTTTCTTTCTATTTGCAACTACACCTTGAGGGCTCTTCCCACATACGTACTAGATTTTCTTGACAGCTTGAAGGCTTTTTCTTTCCGGTATAGTGCCCACTGCGTGTAGAGGCCCTGAGTGCTCACTGATGGGAGTACTGGTCTGTGACAGAAAAATAATCACTGAGCGAGTCTCTGACCACCCTCATAATAGCCATATCCTCCGGAAGGGGAAACTTCTAGTGACTCTAGAACACCAAGATCACACAAGAACATATATACTAACTAGTAAACAAATGCTGAATGAAACTCTATTATTATACATTCTCTCCTCAACCCAATACATTACATTTCAAGTTCCTGTTGTAGTAACTTCAAACTGAATTCATCAAAGCTAAACGCTTTCATAAATGCAAAATAACGCCACCATCGGAGCTCCGCGGAGCAAACCGAACGCCGTACCTATTCGTACGAAGACTGAAGCGATTAGGGTCAGAGGAGCTGATAGTACTGTAGAAGACAGGGTTGCCACTTACGTCCAGTACAAGCTGCCGGTACAGTTGAATTGGCAACTACGAATGAAATCCTCCACGTCTCTCTTGACTCCCAGGGACAGTGAGAACCTATCTTCCTCCTCAATCCCATCCATCAGTCGGTTGGCCGCTACATTGAATCGACCCACAGATTGGATGAGCGACCGAATTGCATTGTCTATAGCCGCTTGCGGGCTCCCCAGCGACATGCAGAGGATAGGGATAAGACTATAAATGGTATTATGAACCTATGTTTATTATTAGAGCGGGTTAACCGACGACCTGGTCAATCATGAGACTTACCATCTCTTTTTTCAGGGAGTAAATATCATTGACTCTTTCATGGGGAAACAAATGTTAGTGTGCAGCTTTATACAACGGTTGCCTCTATGGCTGGAGCATTTCGTCTTGGATAAAACAGCGGCTTACATTGAAACAATGACGTTCACTTCATTCCATATTGCTCTCATATCATGATCCTCCATGATAGCACGGGGTATTACGGACCGAAGACTATATCTTTATCGAGACAGCCGCGGTGTCAGCCATGTAATTAAACCATTAATATATACTCACTCGTTAACAGCACATATAACACCAACTGCGCTGGTGCCCATTCGCACTCTCCAGTATTCCTCGGGACTGGGAATCTGCCCTTCGAGTTTTGCTTTCTGCTCCATATGCGACGTTACCATGAAAAGAGACATCTCCTTGAGAAGCCCGTGCCGTTGCTCTGAAGGCCAAAGGGAGTTAGAGCCATTTCAAATTCAGAAAATAGGCAGAAAAATCAAGTGAAAAGGCAAAAGCAGTAACGAACCATAAGTATATGCATCACAAAGCGCTTCGCCAATCACATCAAAACTTTGGACAATAGGGTCGTCTGGCACAAAAATAGAGTCATTGTAACTACGGGGTAAGCCTTCAGTGAGATCCAGGTCAAGGCATTGAGCCACAAAGTAAAGGGTTTCACGACGGTACTGCTCAGCAGCTTCAAAGTCGTTGCTCAAGGAATCTTTCGTGTCCTCAATTTGGTCATCCCAGGTGACGAGCCAAAGGGAGAGAAAGGCGAGAATATAAAGTTCCTTGAAGCCAGCCAGGGGCCACCGCGTCGCGGCAAGATGAGCAAAGTCACACCTCTTGAGCTTTGTAGCCTTCACTGGCTCTGGGAATAGGCTTTTGATTATTAGTGTTGAACTTTCTCAGGACCCGGGTATAAATGAGATGAAAAAGTAATGAAAGAAAGAATGAACAGACATATATGATGTAGTATCGAAAAGTAAGAAACAGTATGTGATAACCGATGGAATTGAGCACCATACCTGTCAATTCTTGCATTTATCACAGGAACCAAAGCCGTCCAGTGAGGATTAACGGCCCCAGGCCAAGATGAGAAGATGGGTAATAGGTTGGGAACAGAGACGGGGTGTGCCCTGAGACGTTTGATCAGCTGAGAGTGAGTATTAATATGTGTCTCCATGTTTCTGAGAGGGAAGTGGCTGGTATCAATAACGGAGGAGAAGAATGAAAGTATGATTTTACTGCCCACTCTGTTATGTGCTGGGTGCATCTCCCCTATTTATCTAGTCTCCATATACCCTGGAGAGATCGGATACCCTGGTAGCTGCTGGCTATGATAAGGAGAATAAGGTCCTGAATGCCTTGTCAATTCAAGAATTGAGTTGAGCCATGGAACATAGGATGTTTCCCAAGCTGGGGATCCTCGTGAAGGATTCGCACTTTCAAAGTACTAAGTATCAGAACGGGCAAGTTTAGCAACTCTCAAGTAGCAATACCAATCTACGAAAACAGCTTAGCCAATCCGAGCAGATTTATGAGCCATCCATCTTTCCAAATGACCCTTTATGGCCGTATGCATGACACCGTTGCCTGAGTGGGACGGACATGATAGAGGCATGCTAAGGAGGAGCTACTAATACTTTGGCGCTATCCAGTAGACGTAGTTGCTGAGCAATTAGAGTTTGAGTATGCAGGGTGAGCTCTAAGAGCCGTATAACAGTGAGACAGGTCTCAGCCTGCATAGTTAGATCCAAAGGCTGATCTTCGCGTGGTCAAGATCTAGCTGCATGAGAGTGATACTAATGGCGTGATAGATATCCAAGGAAAGCCGGCGCAGATCAACGGCTTCCGCAGATCATGAACAAGCTGAGTATACAAAACGAACCACGTGGAAAAGGTGCTATACCTATAAGCTATATTAGAACGAATTATGGAGCTTACTAGTTGTTGGCCAATGGTGGTATAATGACAATCACGGGGGCGGAGATCTGGCACGCTAGCTGCCGAGGTGAGACACTGAACCATTAAAGGATTCAAAGGGTTTTATGGTAGCCGATCATTGCGATGTGGCGATGATAGCATCACCGATGTTGTAATTGACATTCCACCCACTTGTTCCTTCAGCTGGAAGATCTATAGAGAAAATGACGGTTCCAAGCTTGGCCTAAAGAGGGAGCCACTTTTTGATCAGGGGTAGCTGGAGGGGTGCGAAGGTGCGTGCGCGGAGTGTTCAGCCCGTACTACTTCCCCTTATAGCTACTATACACAGAACTTACACCTCTGGCCTCAACCTTACCTGAGAGTGTGTGGTAATGCGCTAATTAACTATTTCTACGTACTAAAAGCACGTAAGTTAACTATACATTAGATTATATAACTCCAGAGAGGACTAGTATGGGTTACAAATAATAGGCAAGGTGTTCGTGGTATTAGTACCTCATTGCCTCAGTCGAGCACGCCCCGAAATTGTATGATGCTTTGATATCCATGGATTGTCTTTATGTAATGCTACAATAATACTGTAGATTGGTAGATAAAAAGCGGTATGGCAATTCGCACTTGTAGAAGCTTCTATTGCAACCATGCCACTCTATAACTATGGAAATTCATGGCGGTAGTAATTCTTAAGCTTTCATTCTTAGACCTAACTGCTACTATAACGTTATTCAGCTTCAGCACTCCCCTGTTGCACTTCCTCCTTCACATACTGGACCTGTACATTCAAAGCCTATCGGATCTTTCACATTTCCACATAGATATTCGGAAGCTGCCGTTCCATTTGTCAGCTCCAGATTAATACCAGAGAGCGCAATATCAGTACATGGTGCAACGGCGCTGCACTGGAAACTTGCGACTCGAGTAGATTCCGTGGTACCACTCAGATTGAGAACTGAGATATCGCGAACCTGGAACTCCGAGTTGGTGCAGTTGCCTTCCCCAGGGGCACCGCTGAATCGAGTACACTGCGAGATCGCAACCGCAGCACCACGAAGAGATGTAGCTTTGAGGTCTTTGAGGGTCATATTGGAGATGTCTACATAATTGACATAGTCAGCCTTTCTGTTTCAAGAGCATACATTGCGAATAAGTATATTTTTAAGTGTAAACTTACACCCAAGGCCGCCTCCGCCACCATTAGGTGGATAGCCGTTCTGATCAGCTGTCCATGTTTTAACGTACACCTATTCATCACAAACACCCGTCAATAAAGGAATCGATATGTACATTGTGGGATTTTGCCTACCGCGTGAAGGGTGTTATGGTAGTTGATATTGCTCACATTGAGCCTCTCGATGGTTTCGAACTGATCTTTGTACTGACCGATGCTACCCAATGCAATTCCCAATCCGTTGTAGAAATTGGAGTTTGTGATGGTGATGTCCGTGCTGTTTCCCTTAAGTGAGATACTATCATCACCATTGTACACAGTCCAGTTGTTGAACTTGATGTGGGAAGATCGAATGGTATCAGCTCCATCCGTGTTCGCTAGTTGTGGTTAGTAATGTGATGTTTGTGCTGGGTCCAAGATAAGGCACTCACAGCTCGAGACAACATTTCCGGTGTTGTTCACGAGTATGCTGTCGAATTCAACGTGATGGCTATATATGATGGACATTGTCCTGCCAGGGTCTTAGTTCAATAGTTTAAACACAACTTGCAGACTACTTTACCACATCTGGCTGCGTAAGAATCTAAGGCCTCGGACCACTGAATTTGTGAGACCATTGAAAGTGATGGCGTGTGGTCGACCGGGATAGTTGGAAGTATTGGGCTGCTCTTTTATCCATTGATACCAGGTGTCTCCGTTGCCATCCAGCGTCCCTATACCATGGCCATCGACCCGAACATTATTTCCTCCAAGAATGAAAGCAGTGGATTGGTTCTGATACCCGACCGGTAAAGAGTGATTTAACCAGTATTGAATATTCGTACTCCACTAAAGAATTCAGCGTAAACTTATGCAACTATGAATGAACAAGAACTTGGGAAACACACCAGCAGTGTTCCTCCAAGGTCAATGTCGACATCCTCCAGCCAAGTAATGTTCATAACAGAACCGATATGGTATGTCGTTGGCTTGAACACTACCTTTCCTCCACGACCACATTTCTTAAAGGCATGTACAATCGCAGGGGCATCATCGGTGGCGTTGGAGCCCCCGGCCGGTACAACACAAGTTTCTCTACCTACAGACACACATGCCAACGCAGCAAGGACAAAAAAAACTTTCGAAAAAAGCATTGTTATCAATTGCGTGAATCAGGGGTTTGAAGGGACCTATTCTGACCAGATCTATAACTAGAGAGCTAGCTGTCGGCTATCGGATGAACTTAAGTATGTACATCGGTAACGGTGGTCTGATTCCTCGCCTCCATGGCATGCATCCGTGTTGAGCTGACGATCTGGAAGGGCCGGAATTTAATCTTGCACGAATGGAATGGCTGCCATTGCCCAGTCATAGAAAGTAGCTATCTGTAACGACCAGCGACCGGCATTCTCGTTCCTGGCTTCGTGGGGAAAATGCGGGGTATCATGAACTATTCAATCGGACTTCGGTCGATTTCATAGCGAGGGACTCATCAGAACTCAGGCCCATAGATGACGAGAATATCACGGATTCAACGAGAGCACAGCCCCTGAAAGCACTGATCTGGACCCAGTCAGTCTCACTCGCTTAGATTTGAACCCCGTGTGACTACAGTCAAGATGATCAAAGCACCGAATAGTATTATGGCCAAGAGAGCTAGGGTAGAGTCAGGCGTGTGCTAATATCAAGATACTGCCTCTCCCATATTGCAGCCCATCCTGCTTCTACTATTAGCGAATATTATTGCTTCATTAAGAGCGAATGGTGCCCGTAGCGTCTTTCATATATGTGCCCACATCCATTCAGGAAGCGAAGCTCCATTGCAGACAGATCTCCAGTGAGTAGATGTCCTTTGTTGTCAGAAAGCGACTCTCAAATCCCATAATGGTGGTTGCACATCTAAAACAGTTCAAGTGAGAACATAAGTTGTCTGATTGTAGCCTTTCGGCATGGAACTCAGCTAACTGGCTGTGTCCGAGCCTACTTTTATCTTTGTTTTTCTTCTTTTTTCCTTCTTCTTCTTAATTCCAAGAAAGGGTCGGTTTTAACTGAGGAAATTTGTAAATGACTGCGATATGAAGGGGTACGTGGTCAGACACCGAAGTGCGTACCCAAAGACAACGAGTGAGTGTGCCTGGACCGATCGCCAGCCGAGGCGGCCGCAGAGCGAAGAGCCCTTGGCCCGTAGTACTCTCGAGATAATCGTAGAGAATGCGGGACTATAATAGGATTACATTATAGCCACGGCGCGATCCTGAAAGGTCATGCTATTTGCAAGGGCTCCTTTCAATACGAAGGAATCAGGGCCGTTGATCGAATTGTTTCACGAAGCGAGGTTGAATGAATACCACTTGGATCAGTGCTTTGTTCTCACCCTCCCGTTGCAATCGGCCATGCCCTTCTCGTGAGAAGGTAATGAACTTCTACCAAAGATTTGGAAGACTGGTAGGTATCGTTGGGTAAAGACTTTTCCGTTCGCTATATGGCTAAAATATATCGACTTTATAATTGAGCTTGTTCCCGGAGTCCCTTACGTTCTACACGAGACGGAGCACGCTAGTCCCTCGTTCAAGTGCATTCATATATCGAATGAATCCTCAGTGGAGCACGCATATCGAGGTAACAATACTCAAATACCCATGTAGGAAAGAGATTAGCAATGTGTGACAAACTAGGAACCTGTTCTTCCAATGGTGCTGACATCGACTGCATAGTCTCACCCGCTAGCTCTAAACCGAACGGAATTCTAGGTTAAGCGTGTACAAACGGAATGTGTCGGTTGTTGAAGGCTATCAGTACCAGGAATAGCTCTGATGGCTCGCTACTACTCTCCAGGCTTTACAACGATAATGTCTACCAACCACCTCACTTGACGATCAAATTGGGTCTTGTCCGGCAGCAATTGCATGCAGAGACAGAGGTGCACTAGCCAATCTCCCCTTCCGGTAGATGTCATGGTTTACAGTTCCATAACCTCCCACAACCTGTATTCTTTGATCAACCCCATGGCCTGGATGGGGATAAGCGCCAGACTCACAGCTACTTCTGCCGGCAACACAGACCAATGGTGATAGCCGTTCGAATAAGTATCAAGCTTTAATGATATAACGAACCAACTATGATCATCGGGGGGAGGAGAGTGGCCTATCTTTTAGACAACTTGACTAAAGACATCATCCAGCCGTCCTGTCCAACGGCCTAATATACCCTTATGCAAAGGTATCTAGACTCGACATGAGCGACGGTTGATTCTATACAGGTTAACAGATGATTGAACAGCAATACACGAGAACTAGGTATTTGGTCACAGGTGTGCCTTGACTCCATTTGGGTGCTAGTGATATAGAAGACAGTAGCCCTTCACTGTTTAGCAGCTTGCATGTATGTAAATATGTGCACATGTACTGTACTATCACTCAGCATCATTGTCCCCGACCCCACATACGTACTCCGGTGGCTAATTAAGCCCATTTAGATTTACGACTTAAACCGCGATTAATGCCCTCCCATATAACCACCAACATGGCGATCTTTTGAGATAGTGCATGTTTCGAGACAAGAAAGAGAGACAATCCAGGTTAATCAGCATCAGAACTATACTACTATATCTCAGCCATATTTGGCTTCTCTCATTACATTAGGGGTCGCGTGAACAATAGTGCTACTATTTTATTTTCTTACACAAGGCATATTACGTGATACTTCTCTTGTTTTACGCAGAATCCAACATATCGCAACCGCCATTATGGACCTCGCTAGAGATTTGGGGATTAACTAGATGGGCTTCCCCTCCAATGCTAGCATGGGAAGTAGCCATCACTTTGATCGTGGCTTTTCGGATGTATGTACATGATGTTCAAGATCTTACTGCAGTCTCTGGCGGCCTCTGACTATATGGTGCTTGGATCTTTGGTATGTTGTGAATACTTCAATTGAGCTGTAAGTCCAGCTGCTGATTCATGCTGTGTATGTTTTATTTTACTCATATGGCGCGGTGACTTAGGCGAGTATGCTGGGAATAATCTTTTCTAAGCCATTTAGCCGTAACGCTACTGAGACAAGCTGCTTTTAAGCCTTGGCTATCAGGAAGAGTTGGCACCCCTTAGAAGAGATAGAATCATGACGACTGACTTTCATAACTTAATTAAGGTTGACAGCAATAAGGATTGGTCGCTAGGACAATGTATGCCGACCCCTTAAAGTGCTTCTACTACTATCATCAAATTGCGTACGCGATTGGTATAAGCTTGGTCAAGTGCAATAACCAGGGAGTTCTTGCCCTATTCCTCTTCTCTTACATTCTCTTTTCTTCTTTCCCCTGACTCTTTCTTTGCTTTCCTTTTGCTCGTTAAACCTTCCTGTTTTATGTTGCTTGTAAAATATTCGTGGTGGGAACTAGTGCAATAGCTAGCATAGAAACTACTAGTACATCCTCATCCAATTGTGGCTATGAAGGAGGGTAGACACCAGCAGGCTATTATATTCGGAGTGGTTACGATCACCAATGCGGTTCACAGAAATTATGTTTACTGCAAAAGGCCCAAAGCAGACTGTGCAGAAATCCTTCAGGCCCTGTGCAAGGACAGACCCACCTCAATATAATGAAGGGATATCAGATGTTAATCTCTTTCGACCATCATTCTTATACTATTGGTGGTTGAGTTTACCACAACCAACCATATCTCAGATAACAGGAATGGCTTGACATACTGTAAATGGATTCTTGGACAGCCTATACAGACGGCTTCGTATCGCTTAAGAGTAATAACTCATCAGGTGGTGTAGACAGGGACTATGATATATTAGATCTCAAAGCAGGTCCTTTCTAGAACCGACATGACTAATGAAAAAGCCGCTGTTTGTCTCTCACTCGTCTGGAAATTTGGCTCTACATATCAATGGATCCATGATGAGGGGAGCTACTAGTAGTATTGCCCAGAAGAGGAGAAGAACCTCTCCTCCAATCACAACACCGGCTGACCCAACCTTCTCCTCATCTCATCAGTCCTATAACATCGTTGCTACCTCTAAGTCATACCAGGAACGGTACGTCTAACAGGCGCGGGCGGCAACTTTCATAACTTGACCCGTGGTCAATCTTCGACTGTTGAACCATTTTGCAAATGAGATCTTCTACAGAGCTCCCATTCCGCATCTTGACGAATAACATTCGTTATGCGACGCAGTCACCATTTAAGGGAGAGAAGCCATGGGAAGAGCGCCGGCAACCCCTCCTAAATCAGCTGCTGTATAACACCCGCAACCAAGACGCTTTCATCTGCCTACAAGAGGTCCTTCATAACCAGCTCATTAATATACACTCTGGACTGAACCGGAAACATTCTACAGTCTCCACTAAAACTGAAGACAATGCCTGGGCATATATTGGCGTCGGGCGAGATGATGGCCATGAAGCTGGCGAATACTCACCTATCTTCTACCGACCGTCGGTCTGGCAGCTCCGGCATTGGGAAACAGTCTGGTTGTCTGAAACGCCGCATGTCCCCTCGAAAAGCTGGGATGCGGCGTCCATCCGCATCGTAACTATTGGTGTTTTCACACATCATACAAGTCGTCAGACTATTCTGGCGATGAACACCCATTTGGACGACCAAGGATCCCGCTCTCGCTTTGAAGCAGCCCACATTATCCTTCGGAAGATTGATGAGTACCGGAATGGAGAGTACAAAGATGTCATTTCCGCAGTATTCCTGACGGGTGACTTGAACAGTGAAGAGGCACAAGAGGCCTATTCGGTGTTAACAGGGAGTGAATCCACTCTGGTTGACACAGCAAAAACGGTCGATCCGGCGGAACACTACGGTAACCATTTGACTTGGACGGGCTTCGGCTACGAGAAAGAAGACCCTTCTCGTATCGATTACGTCCTCGTAGGACCAGGGCCCGTGAAGGTCCTTAGCAACGGAGGCCAGCCATGGAAGGTGGAGGGGTACTCCGTGTTGGCCAATCGATTTGACGATGGTGTGTTTAACTCGGACCATCGAGCGGTTGTTGTCGATGTGCGATTATGCAGCTAGACGATAATAATGGGTCCCCACAAACCCATGGCCAACACGATCCAAAGGATAGAACTGCCATAGATCCAACTCATGGATGCATACAAGATGGTAACATGGTTGCCTCTCTTGGGGTTCCGATGCACCTGATGTAATCATGGAGAAAGATCAATACCGTACCTATACAGACAATTGAATCCACCGTGAAACAATCCCGTTACGCCAAGGACTTTAGCGTAAGATACTATGGCTGGATTAGGTGTAGTTCGCATCACAGACATTCCTAACTAGGAATAGTGAGTGGAAACATGAAACGCGACTGAGATTGTTTTACAGTGCCAATACAGTAACTGTAAAGAACGTTTTGATGCTGCCAGATGGATGAAAAGCTTTGGAAATGATGAATGGTGATAGCTTCAAAAAGATCCCAAAAGGGATGTTCTAAGTCTCTGATCAGGATGGTTTTTCCTGGCGCTGCTGGCTCATGCCCAGCTCCCTCTCCGACCGTCTCCCCCCCTCCTCCGCCGATGAACGGGCAGGACTTGTAACGGCTGTTCAGTCCGCTCGGCGCTCCCTTTTCCTCCCTCACTTCTCTCTCTCAATCTCTGCTGTTCCTTTCTCCCCTTTTTTTTACCACCTCACGAAATTGGAGCATTGTCACGTCAGACCCCACGCACGGGGGGCACTAGAGCTTGACTGGACCAAATCTTAAGGGTACAGGACGTGAGATCTTCAAAGAAATAAGGACGCGAACGATCGAGACCTGGACCTTACCTCGACTGGGGGCGCGCCATCAGCTGATTTAGCCGTTCTCTTCCGGGTTCTCTCTCGCGAAGACCAAAGAAAGACCCATACCGGCAGACCCATCCACTGCTTGCTTGTGTGCTGTGCCTCAGTCCTGCGCTGGCCCTGGAACCTTCCTCCTGCCTCGGGCTTTCCGCCGGTCTTTTCATTATTGCTTTGATTATCCTCCGTGGTTAGTGTTATTTTCCTTTGATTCGTCCTTCGCCTTTTTCCCTTTATTTCCCTCTCCCCGTTGGTTCTGGTATGTCTCTCTACCTTCCACGTTGTCGTCTCTTTCGCTATTTCTTTCACCGCGGCTCTGCCAACCTTGGTGTCAAGTCTACCTCCATCCAGGTGACATGACGGCAACGGCGTGGCGGGCTTGCGGCATATCCTCACTACCTTATCGTGCGATGGATCGCATCCCCCGCTGCGTTGGTCGCGTCCTCATTGCGATAAGATCTCAATGTGCGGTAATCCCAAATTTTGCTAACCTGAACGCGGTCTCAGCTTCCCGTCTAAGCATGCTGCCGTAACCGACTCATTATCCACTCGGTAGCCATCCTCGTTTGTTGAGCGCCATCTCGAAGGGCGAACCTTCTGTACAAGTGGCGCGTTCTGTTTCTTTTGGGACGATAATCGCGACTCCGGATCGAGCCAATATTTGATCATGCCGTCCCCGGAGCTTTCTCAATCGGGGCAACTGCCCAGCGACATCCAGCCGGACAGTATTCAGAATGGCTTCGTTCCACCAATGAGATCTGGAAATCACAATGGTGAAACTACCTCAGGATCTCCTACGGAACAGGGACCGAATGGATCAAATGCGATCACAGAAGGAAAACACAATGCGAAAGCCGTTCTTGCAGCCTCGGGCGTGTCTTTAACACCCTCCGGCTCCAGTCATAACGCGTCCAACGGCAATCCGTCTACCGGCTCCCAGTCAAATAATGCCAATGGCTCAGCAGCAAGCAAGAAACGATCACGTGGCGGCCCCGCCATTCATCCTTCCTCGCCGACAGAAGGGTTAGCCGTGCGTGTACGTGAAACCTCAAAGGATAAGATCCTAGCGGAACAGTATGTGAACCGGGAGTTCCAACATTCTGCCTTGACGGCGTACCACAATCAGAACCAAGAGATAATAAGCCAAAAACGTGCCGAACGGGACTTTTATCTGACTCTACGACGGGAGAATCATATGAACCCGGCGGCGCTGTATGGTGTCGGCTACGAAGGGTTTGGGAACGCTCGTACAGATCTGCGAGGTCAACATCCCCAGCTATTGTACCCCTCCAACCGGCGGCGACCAGGTAACCGGAGGACTAGGGAGCTACGGGTTTCACGGAAAGATTTGAAGACACAAAGTGAACAAATCGAAGACCTTGTGCCCATTCGGCTGGACATCGATTGGGAGAAGATCAAGATCCGAGATACGTTCACCTGGAATCTCCACGATCGGGTGGTATCTCCCGATCTATTCGCCGAAAAGCTAGTGGAGGACCTGGGCCTCCCTCTTGAATCATGCGCCCCCCTCGTGCGGATGGTTTCACAGAGCATCCAAGAGCAGATCTGCGATTACTATCCTCAAATATATATGGAAGAAGATCCTCTCGACCCTCATCTCCCGTACAGTGCTTACAAGAATGATGAGATGCGCATTCTTGTTAAGCTAAATATCACCATTGGTCAGCATACTCTCATTGACCAGTTTGAATGGGATATTAACGACCCCTCCAACTGCCCCGAAGAATTCGCTGCGCGTATGACGGATGACCTTTCTCTGTCAGGAGAATTCACGACAGCAATTGCGCACTCCATCCGCGAACAATCGCAGCTATTCACGAAATCACTTTACATCCTCTCTCATCCGTTTGACGGACGTCCGATCGATGATCCCGATCTTAAGTCCGCTTTCCTTCCTACCCCCCTCGTATCATCCTTCAGGCCATTCCAGGCAGCCAAGGAATTTACACCGTACCTGTATGAATTGAACGAAGCAGAATTAGAACGCACAGAAGTTTCAATATCCCGTGATCAACGGAGGCAGAAACGCTCCGTTAACCGTCGCGGTGGACCCGCCCTACCTGACCTGAAAGACCGCCAAAGGACTATCCGCACGATGATTGTATCCTCCGTCATTCCAAATTCGGCTGCGTCTATTGATGAAAGTAATGTCTTCAAACGATCTGGGTCGAGTCGTGCCAGGCGCGCTGCTGTCGGGTTGCGGGACACTGGTGACGATTCTGATGAATCAGACAGCGACGAATCTTCAATCACAGGCTCCCCCGCTATCGGTCCTCATCTGGCTCAAGGCACTGCGCGCACAAGAGGCATGCGAGGGGCTGCCAGTGCTGCTCACGCTGCTCTGCGTGCGAACCTTGGTCAGTCTGCCACTCCGGAGCCTCACCACGAGGGAAGAGCATCTGCTAGGAGACGGGACTATCGCGAAGAGAGCATCGAAGAGCCAGAAAAACTAATTGTGAAGCTTAAGATCCCTCGTGAGAAGTTCCGTCAACTTCTTACCCACGGACCACAGTCAATACCGAGTCTCTCAGCGACTCCAGCCCCTCAGCCACCATCACATCAAGGCACGCCTCAAATTAGCACTCCGACCCCAAGCAACATGGCTCCACCATCACACACCCAGCCTCAAGCTCGTCTCCCAAGTGTCGGTACACCCACGCAACGGACCGTCCCCGCGCAACAAATTGGAGCCATAGATGCAACCCACCCCCCTCAGCCGGGTGTCCCAGGGGTGAGTGATAAATAACTCATGACAATTCTTTTGTTGATTCGCCTCAAGTGGGCCGGCTTATCCGGCTATGGTGGGTGTATCAATTACGGTTCCCTGCTGACTTGAACTTCTCTTAGCCCCCGCCTCCAAGTTGGCTTGCGGCGGGACTCGCGCGACTAAAACGCTCGTATCCAAATGATTCCTTTGAAGGCGTAATGCGCTACACTGCTGTCGATACGGAGACAATGCTACCAGTAGCTAATGCCAATACCGAGTCAGGCCAGAAACTAAAATATCAATACCTCCCACGCATCCGGTGCCATGACTGCCCGGGCAAACTGTATACCCCCGGGCCGGGCACGACAGTCGATAATTTCGAGGTTCATCTTCGAAACCGACAACACAAAGAGCGTGTCGAGGAGAGGATCACGAGGACCGGCGGTGCAGGGGGCAACAATGCATCTTAGTCATGAGCTCAACGATGAAGCGCTTTCATCTTTCTATATCTTCCCCCTTCTCTCTCTTCTTTTCTGCATCAATGTATACTTCTCAAAGAACCTTTTTTTTTTTTCTTTTTCCCCCTCTTCATGTGTGCGTACCACTGGAAAAAAAGAATCCGTGGCTTTATGTATATGGTTTGAGCGATTGGACTTGAGGCCGTATCTTTTTCCCGTCCTGGAATTATGTGTGATACTCTAGTGAGCTTGGATCTGGTGCTGTCTTTTTCTCCATTTTCATGGTCGGCGTAAATACAGCGTTGTTCGAGATCGGGGCATTAAAGTCATTATACGGTGCTCTCTATCTTCATTGTTCATGGGACCTAACCTATTCACTCAATACAAATAAATAATGCATGTCACCTGATGATGACATTTAAGTCCTAGTCATATATCGATCTATTGGTTGTCGGAAACTAAGATTATGTATGCTACCATGGCCTCAATTCGCGCTGTACATATATTTGAGCACCGAGTACATACATACAAAGATACGAACGTAGCTAAAAACAGACCGAATAAAAGAGCAAGGGCAAACACGCAGGAAAAGTGAGATTTGGAACGGGACGTTATCCTAGCAATTTTAAGGAAACAAGAGATAGAACAAAGAAATGGCGTAGGAAATGGGTATACACTTCAATTCGACTCAACGGATAAAATAACTAGCACTCACTGACGGACTCATTCATTGGTGAGAAGATGGAGATAACATAAAACAGCATAGCGTAGCACAACATGCACGAACAGCATTCCGTCAAGGAATGGGACAATGGAGAGTGGTAATTTTAAATTGATTCGAGGAATCACGTAGGTTACGAGACAGACAAACTGGCAGGTCTGCTAGAATGTGACGGGGATGAAAGGGATAATGATGATGTATGATGCTTGAGATCCACCTTGCTAGCTGTGGCCGTCTCTATCCTCTTCGAGAGGCGCGTCGGGATGGTAGGCTTGTTGCCTTTGCGGCACGTGCTTTTTTGGCGCTTGGTGGTGGGGATGATGGAGGT